TTTTCAGATTCAGATTCAGATTCAGAAAACTTTATTTATCCCCGTGGGGCAAATAGAGTTGTGCGAGAGCGGCTTATTATAGAGACAGTCAGAGCAAAGGAAAAATATAGGATGAGAGTAGCTTAGCACTTGAGGTCTTAAGGTAGTGGCTCCAGCATCGAAATAGTATTGCACATCGAGCAGTATTGCACAGTGAGGACACAGTAAGACAGTATTGCACATGAAAACAGTATTGCACGTCAAGTATTGCACTGTAAGCCCGTATTGCACAATGGGGTATGCGAGTTTGAATGGTGGGGGAGGGGTGTCAGGGATATTGGAATAAGAGTTTAAGAGTTTAAGAGGAGAACAGCCTGGGGGACGAAGGTGGATCTCCTTCTCGCTGTCCTGCAAGCTGGGAACCGCAGCCTGCGGCCGGAGGGCAGCCATTCGAACGCGGGGAAGAGAGCATGTGAGGGGTCTTTCATGATCTGAGCAGCTAGACCAAGGATCTGCTGCTCGCACACTGCAATCAGAGGGCGAGTGGGAAGTCCGATGATCTTGGAGCACACTCTGCTGATGCTGTCCAGGCGGTTCTTCTCCTGCAGACTTTGGGAGTGGAACCAGCAAGCCATAGAGAACGAGAGGACGGACTCTATGAATGCCTGATCAGCACAACTGATCCTTCATTAACCATTGTTTTATTCATTTGATAAATACGCATTTATTATTAATTGATGAAAATAACGTCAAAATGTTACATTGAGCATTGCCTGCACAGTGAAGTTTCAGTACATGATGTCAAAAGTTTGGACTTGGGAACAACTTATTTCACGCGCAGTTTATTTTGAAAGTTAAACAAGGAGGCCAACTATGTAAAATTGCAGAACGGATTCCGCTCCACCACAAGACCAAAATAGGTGGGACAAATCCATGAGTATACCATCGCATAGTAGACTGTACATTTGTTTGCCTATCTTGTATATTTCTATTAAACCGTCGGGGAGATGGGTGATAAATTTATTTCCTTGGGTAAACCGTTAAAGGCAATCATCCCACTGTTCTCTACCAGTGACCTGACAAACGATTTACTGCACAGGCTAGCAAAGCATCCGCTTCTCAAGCGGAGGAGGGTGAAGGTCATGGCACAGGTGTCTGGGCTTTGCTGACTGGGGGGGGGGGGGGGGGGGGGGTGGGAGGGTGGGGGCGCGAGGGGTAAAAATAGGCATTCTGTGAAAAACTAAGTATGAGTGATTGCAGGTCACATATAGACTACTCAACACATCAGGGCAAATTCAAGTGTTCAATCAACCTAATCTGTATATATTTGGAATACAGGAGCAAGTTGAAGTATCTGGAGAAAACCCAAGCAAGAACATGCAACCTCCACACAATAAGCCTTGACCATCCTCTGAACCGTGAAGCAGATATGCTAACTATTTACCCTCCGTACCACAGAGTTTCATTTGTGAAAATATGAAGCAGGAAAAAAAAAAACCAAAACCAAAAAAGGCAGCAAGGGACAGTCTAACTAATTGTAATTAACATGACAGTGTCAGGAAGGCAGACTGGCTAACCGCTGCTCTAGTAATGAGTGTCAAAGAGAACAGCTCCTCTTTCACACACTTGCACGCAAACCCACCCACTCACTCACTGAAGACAAGCTACTACTGTTTCATTTCCAATCTTTTCACACACTCGGTCATACGTGCTTGGGTCTCTCTATCGCACTCCCCTTTTGTGTCTCTATCTCATTGTGAGGACCTCGCCTCTGCTAAAAGCAAGAGTAACTCCAATCCTCGATGCACCCCCCACCCCCCAAAAAAAATTCTCACGACATGATGTATTTAGAAGTTTATTCAAACTCTACACTCTAAACTGTGTCTAAATAGATTTTAGAAATATTTAAATTCCTAATTTATGCAATGAAGAATCCTTGAGGGGATTTACGGGTCTCGGGTTTAAATGACAATAGAACAATTGCTCACCCCCCCCCCCAAAAAAACCCTATCACACGGGAAGATAAAGAGCATTCTCCAATTTGATCACTTTAATAGTCTGCCGATTGAAGTGTGTATATGTGAGGGACCTCCTAATTTATAAGCAATGACATGTCGTTCTAATTTTTATTCCACTTGGATGACCTACATGAAAATGAATGCCACGTACCATTCAGAGTAAAAGTCAAATTTGTATGGACAACGCAAACACTTGGAGAACAATTAACAGAATGTAAAATTTTTTGAAATATTCTGAGGAAAATAGGGCATGCTGGGTTTTCTCTTGTGCAAGTCTTTCAAGAAGGGAAGCTTTTGCAGAGTGAGCACAATAACGCCCTATATTTTTGCACATATGCACCACCAACAACATGACAGCGCGCTGTGATAAATCCTTTTTCTGATCTTTCATTTCCATCCCAAATTGCTCACCTGTTGTTATGGAATTATTCAACAAGTTATTAAAAGGTTCAAGTATTATTACAGATGTAATGACAAATAAACAGATCTACATTGAATTGATTCCATTCATTCCATCTTGATAGAAAAAAGGTCACATCACTATCCAAACAAGAGGAATTATTATAATGAAACCTTGCTCGCCCAGTGTCAAATCATATGCAATAATGAATTGCCCTTTCCTGCTCCATCTTTAACGTCTTAATTAAGGAGGATTTGCAAAATATGATCATGAATGACCTGATCAGACAGTTAAGGGCACCCTCCGTTTCTCTGCAGAGCAGACACAGCCAAGAAGTCAATAATCAAGAATTGTGTCACGAAATAAAGACACAGCAGGGTACTAAAAACAGAGTGGGAACTGCCCCCGTGGGAGTGGAAGAAAGACGACGTGCATGCAATGTCTCCAGTAAGTCCCAAAGCCGAGTGGACTCGGAACTGCTGACACTGCAGCAGCAAGATCAGACAACATGGGTACGAGTCCACCTGACAAGATCTCATCCGAAAATCACTTCACGAGCAAATGTTTGACAGCCAAGCAAAACCCTGTTCGCGCTCTCTTACCCTCTGCTTGCTGTACGGATTTCATTCACACGTTTTACGGCGATTAACAACTCATCACGAGGCGTCTTCTGCGTGCATGAGACAATAGTGATAAAAGACGCCTGGCGCAGCGCTGCGCCCACCAGCCGCAATGGGAGAAGAGTAGCTGTTCGGAATCCTGCATAGACACTTCGGTGCAAAACATGAAAGAGTGAGAGCGCTGCACACGAATACAAACATTGCCGATGTTTAGACTGCGTCCCAATAGCAACGACGGGATCTCCTTCGCACCACATGCAAGCGCCCGTTCTTGCTCGCGAGGCACGATGCCTTTTCTGTTACCATTCATAGTTTGCGAAGATGACGATAAACTACGGTAAAATAAGTCTGGGCAGGCGTGGGGGGGGGGGCAAGACGCCAAGTGAATATGAAATTAATTACAGTTCACGTTGCTATTTCTGCCGGAGCTGCCGCCTTACCTTCCTCTCGTGTGACGCCTCTTGATAATTAGGTCGTAATTTTGCTCTCTACGAAGGGGGAAAGATCGCAGCGATAGCGTTCGGTTCAATGTCAAAGCCACCAGCAGCTTTGCCTCACATCTGCCACCGCTTCCTCCGTTTTCCAGTCACGCACACCTGAGTCCCTCTCCAAACACCTCTCCTTCACCCACTGCTTGCACGCACAAACACACGCACACCCGCACACTCGTTTCGCCCTTGTCAACAGACGCCGCGACGATACGTCCGCTTAGATACTCAATTTGAGACAAAACGCTCATATTTGAAACTGGGAACACTTGGTCACGGTGCCGTCAAGTACTCGCTCCCAAAGTCTCAAGAACAGGTGCGCCAAGTTTGGCTAGGACCTAGCCAAACTTGGCGCACCTTCACCTAGCCCAGGGGTCAGCAACCCAAAATGTTGAAAGAGCCATATAAGGACAAACAAAAAACAAATATGTCTGGAGCCGCAAATAAATAAAAGCCTTCTATAAAACTTACCATGAAGGAAACACATGCTGTATGTACTGTATGTAGTAGACTGGACTGTCTCAGAATTGTTTATGTTATTCATTCTTTTGTTGTGTGTTCACAAACGCCCGCATAGAATTTATTTTGTAATTTCCTCGCTTGATTTTTTTTTTTTTTTGGTGCATTATTTTCGCTCTTCTTAGTGTCAGTTGAGTGATTATTAATTTCCGTTTTTCCGAGGCTGTCTTTGAACGCCTCTCGAGTCGAAAGAGAGAAGGCACGAAGTCGGAAGCAGATTGTCTGTTTGTTGAGAATGTTAAAAGCATAAATAAAGTGTACGTTTTAAAAAAAACAACACCACAGCTCTGTTAGCCTACTATCAAAATCTTTTTCCATTTTCAAACATTTTTTATAAAGCTCCAGGGAGCCACTAGATGTCGCTAAAGAGCCGCATGCGGCTCTGGGGCTGCGTGTTGCCGACCCCGGACCTAGCCGCGAGGTGAAGCTAAACTCAAAGCTTTTCGCAATTAACCAACCCCAATCTTTGCTTCATACTATACAATTATGAGCTACTGCAGTTACAGATGGAAGTGTCATTTTTATACAGTACACGTGGCCCACTATCAATTCAAAGTGCCTCGAGTGTCCTCATCAGACTCACTCATACTCGGTCATCATGAAAATGCAGCAGAATAATGAAACTCCCAAGGTCTTATGATTGAAGGCCAAAACATTTGCAGATGCAATACAATGGCAAGTCTCTTAAAATGTAAAAACGGCACGTCACAAGTCATCACTCTATTCGTTTTTTCAAGTACAAAATGACCTTGTAAATATGTGAAATGCAAGCCTCAAGCATTTTCATTTTGCTGCAGGCTAACCTTTGATGCTTTGCACATCTTCAACGCATGAATAAGAATCTTCCTTATCTCTTCATTGGATGTATTTTCTCTTATCTTGTTCCATTTTTATTTTGACAAGTCTTGGGATTTACTCGGCGAACCTGGGACTTCGGTTATCGTATTTCGTGCCATATCAAGAGGAAATGTGATTTTGTAGGACAATAAAAATGCATTCAATCCATGAAAACTCAATTTTAAATATAACTTGCAAGAACACCCAGACATTAATTAGTAACAAATAAGAGTATTCTAAAATAAGAGCAATAAAAATGCCTGCTGTTCCTGCTGTGCGTGCATTGGCCTGTTAGGGGCAATGTGGTGCAGTGCATGTATGGTGTACACACTTGAAATGAGATAAGAAGTGTAGAAAAGAAAGTTATGATTGAGCTCTGTTAAAATAACTTGAATTTAAGAGATTAGGAAGAATTTGTGTCTTTGAGTATTGCTATATTACCTGTCAGTATCAGTGGCGGCCGCTGGTCATTCAAGGAGGGGAAGCTCAATTTATTTCTGGGCCGACATCATAAATGTGTTTCTTTATTTCGATGTCAAATCTACCCTCCATTCCTTTTCAAGAAAATCATCCAGTTGACAACATTCGTTTCATCTGCCACGATGTGCAGTTTAGTTTAGTTTTGGCTATTTGGGCATGGTACATTCGAGGCAATGCATTTGCATACAGCTCAGCACATGGTAAAAGGAACCCAAAAAGCTGAAGCAGAAGCTTATAGATGAAAAAAGTCGCCCAACACAGCGCCACACAAAGTTGTTTTTAAGACAAAGTCACTGGGGATCGGTCAAGTCTGAGAATCAGTTCACAACAACAGAATGAAAAAGTGAAAAAAATGCTCCAGTGGAAGTTGACACTTCAAGAGCACTGTCAATCAAAGAGGGATTCTGCCTCACATTGTTTCATGAGGTGCTCTCCGTACTCCATTCCTCAGTTTACTAGTGGGTTGTCTGGTTTGTGCGCATTGCACAACAAACAACTTTTCTTTCAAAGGCAAAACCAATGGCAATGCAGATGTTGAAATGTAAATAGGTAAGTTCATGTCTAAAGTTGAGTCTTTTGGCCAAGCAGTCCCGAGTCCCAAAATTGGCAATTTAGGTGAAGTTGAGTCATCCAAATGGGGTTCCCCCACCTCTGCCACAAAAAAAAAAAAATCAGGGAATAAAATCATGTTTTTCAAGACAAAATAGTTATTTTTGTGTGTATTTTTCCTAGATAAAGTCACAATCCTATGATATTGAAGTCATATTTTAACATGTGAATTTCAAACATAAAACTTTCTTCTCATAGCAGACCTTTTATTATGGAAAAGGTGCCTTTATTCCACAAGAATTAGATCTTGTGGGGAGGGGGGTGGTCCTTTTGTTGTTGGAATAATTGGACTTTATTCCCATTATAATACGCCTTTTGTATGGAGAATATCAGATTGATGAGATGCATGCCAATCCTATCAGAGCTTTTAATCAGCCCAAAGCCAGAGGATGAATTGATTTATCATTTATTTTGTTTTATTGGCCATTGGTAAAACTGCTATTTCATATTTTAAACTATAGTGTCATTGTTGCGTGCCATATTCCCAATGAGTCCTTTTAAAAGCGATTTTTAAACGGATTCATTCCGAATACATTGATATGCAGCACCCTGTGCATGCTCATCCTCGCATGTGCTCGTTCAGTGACGAATAAAGGCGGACTTCGCATGCCTCTGTCAACTCAGATTTATGAGAGGCGACAGTATATGGGAAAAACATCATGGATCGTGTTTCAAATTTCATGGCAATGGCCGATAACTTGCTGATGCACCCAAACATGCGCTTTCAACTTCACCTTGTGTTTGTTTTGCTCAGTTCTCAGAATGCATGAGTACGTTCTAGTGTACGCAGTGTTTGAATGCATGCTGACGCATACATGAGAGCAAAAAAAAAAGAATGAAAATAGATAGATGTAAACAGCAGCGATGTAGATGAGTGGTTTTGGTTCAGGATATGTTCCCAGACAGTCCAATGAACATATGATCAATAAATGGAAAGCATACCTTTGCTTGCAGGACAGGTGTGCAGACTCGGAGAAGAACAACATCCCTCATGTGTCCATCATGGCATCGCTGATCGCTTTGGTTAATCTACTTTTTCACTATGGCAACAAATGAACCCCCCCTTCTCGCTCTCGCTCACTCTTGCTCTCTCTCTTTCTCAATGCTCCAATGAGGAGTCTCCACTCACATCATAGGCCACCCAACCTCTCTCCCACTCCTACTGTCGCTCTCTCGCTCTCACTTTCTCCCTCTCTCTCTCTATTTCTCTCTCTCTCTCTTTCTCTCTCTCACACACACACACACTCACACACACACACATACACGCACACACACACACTCACACCTACCTCCACCATACCATCTGGAGATGGATACTGATAAAGAGTGAGAGGGTAGCATGAGGGAGAGACGGAGAAGAAGTAATATGGGATAGAAGGGATTTTAGAGCTTGGCTATGACAAGGCTTGGATTAATTTGCCAGCCAAATGCATTTGAGATTAGTGGACCATTAAAAGAGCATAGACAGCCGCATGAACGCACACGCACACACATACGGGCAGGCTGGCTGCTGTGATGAAGTGATAGCCTTACTAAATCTGACCTCTATCTCCCGTTTCCTCCCCTTTTGGTCTCGTTTGGTTCACTCCCCCTTTTTAATCTTGTTTTGACACCAACAAATAGGCTGTGATGAAAACCATATGTGTGCAATCACATGAATACAGCGGAAGATTCCAATTGTTTATTGAAGTAAGGTGTGGGAATACATTCTCCACATTGAATTCATGTTGAGGATGTATGGAAACACAAAAGCGGGGTACACACGTAAATCGAGCGTTTCCTCCCTCTTTTGATCAAAGTCCACATAGGCTCCCCGATGTTTGAAAGTGTTTCCTGTACAAAAGCGGTTTGTTTAGAGTGATTTATTCAGAAAATGGGAAGGCCAACAATCATAAACGTTCAACGATATAACAGTTAATTGCAATCCAGAAATGTGATTGGACAAGCTTCATCCTAAATCCACATTTCAAATTGTCTTTTGGACGTTTCAGGGACGCCGTGTCCTCTGGGGCAAAGAAGAAAAGGACCATCCGGATTGAGCAATGCTCAAAAGTCACGATCTGTGATGGTAAGGTAAGCTGTGTTCGTGTCCATGGTAACGTGCACCTCTGTGAAGACGCCATTCATGATAAATGGTACTTAAAGCGATATACAGTATGCTGCCATCCAAGCAATGTCTTTTTCAAGGATGTTCCTGCTTATTTCAACGAGACAATGCCAAGCCCCATTCGGCTGTCGCTGATGTCACAATAGCGCGGCATTATCGCGAAAGAGTAGAAGTACTCCACTGGCCTGACAGCAACCCACAACTGTCTTCCATTGAAAGTGGGTGGAACCATAAAATACGACCACTGAGACCCCTGAGCAACACGTGGATACACGACACGGGTGGAACACAGTCTCCTTCTGCTCACTTCACAGATCTATGATCTCACTGACCGTGGAGGTCTGATTGCAGGTCCTTATAAACACACTTTGTCTCATGGTAAATGGGCTGTCACTTGTATCGCGCTTTTCTACCTCGGCTACTCAAAGCGGTTTAGACTGTTACCTCATTGACCTACCGATGACGCAGCATCAGGAGCAATTGCGGGACACTTTGACATGGTCGCATAGGCCGGGGATTGAACAATGAACCTCTGGGTTGGGAAACGACCACTCTTAGCAGTGAGCCATGGTGCCCCCATCAGTTTTTTCCTTCCGCCATTTTAAGGATTGTGCGCCTCGTGCACACCACATTTCAAGGAATGAGAGGAACCGCTTTGATTAGTGGCAAATCGAATAAGCTGTGTTCATGCCCGCAAAGGCGCAAAATGGCCCTTTTCTTTTTTTTTAAATGTGCCACATTTTGGCCACTTGCACAGGTCCAGGGAAAACTTACCGTTAGTTAAAACAGCTACCGGTACTCTTGTGCAGATTAAGACTGCACCCCGTACCACATTTGCACTGGGCTTGAAAATAGAACCCGAAGTGTACAAACAGGAGCGGATACTCAGCCCGTAGGCTAACATAGCTAATGAGTTCACAGTCAGTTCAATTGGCTTCATTTTGTATTTATGAACACAAAGCGACGAAAGAGACACAATTTGACGTGAGGTGGACTAATTTTCCAACTCTCTTTGTGAAAGTCCAGCCATCCATCCATTTTCCGATCCGCTTTATCCTCACAAGGGTGCTGGAGCCTATCCCAACCGTTTTCGGGCAGTCGGTGGGGGACACCCTGAACCGGTTGTCAACCAATCACAGCGCACACAGAGACAAACAACCATCTCGGAGTTAAAATGTACTGTATCTTCTTCAGGTCTGCACTCTCAACTGTAATCACGGTTCAGTTAATCACAGTTAGAGTTAATCATTAGTTCTTTGATTGCTTGCCAAATGTTGATGGAAAGAACACCAAAGACAAATGTCCCACATCAGTCCTCCACACCGCACCCCGATGGAAGTGCGGTGCGTTGTCACATCACATTATTTGATTTTCTAACTTGATCTTTTCAAACCCCAGAATGATCTGGGGAGTCCCGTTTCGCGAGCAACCTTTGGCTCTTGTCGTCAATAAGAGGAGCAGCTACCAGGCAATCAATCAGAACCACTTGTGCCATTCTCGCTTATGTACACATAGGGATTACACTCACTTAGAAACTGGGTCAATAAATGGATTACTGTTGATTGAGTGAAGACTAACCAGTACTGAGCGAGAGCCAATTCTCATCCTCGGGGAACTGCATTAAGATGTATGATAGGTGAACAATACCCATTGATAATAGTGTGTCCATAAATTTGTGCATATGCAATATATGTTGTATATTAAATGCTCTGCCGATTTAAACTTTCGGGGTGTTCAGACAACAATAAGATGATGAAACATACGGTACTTAGCAATTAAAACAATGTTTTGCCATGGACGCACTGCAGATTTATTTACAGGGTTGCCACTCATATGTCATATTTACATTTCAATTGGGACAAAATGAGAAAAATAACCAAACAAGGGTCTCGGGGAACACAATTGATCCTGGATGACAAACGAATTCATCAAGTATTTTTTGCAAGTGAAATTATTTCAACAAGACCTGTGACTGAATGGTGGCCAGTCCAGGGTCCCTTGCCGAAAGTCAGCTGGAGGAGGCTCCATCATAAACTTCAACCTGACCAGGACAAGGAGGGCAAAATGGGTGGAAGATGTCAACAAGCTCTTGCAATGAATATTCAAACGACTATTTCCTTTTTATGCCACGTTCCAGCAATGACACTTGAACCGTCTTTCCCACTGCAATAGCTTATTATTTCAAAAGAAGAATATAGCCAGTTAGGCAAAATGTGAAAACAAGCTGCAAAGACATGCAAATCCCAAACTATTTAAAACAAGATCCGATGTGTGTGCGTAGTGGACGAAAAGTGGAACGACCCATGCAATAAATGAAGCCCATACATTCTGGAACTGCTTGCAGGTACCACCCCTCGCGTTGTGTGGGCTTTGGGGCTTGCTCAGAATTCCGACAGTACATTATAGGGATCACGCTGCCCTCTTGTGTCTATTTCGAGGCAAAGAAAGCTTAACAAGAACTACTTTTTGCAACATTTGAAATTGAGAATACGCATCTTGAGATACAATTTTGCGGGTTTGTACTGTTGCTTTACACAATCATTGTTGTGGGGAAAAAAATGGAAAGATCTTTCTTTTTCTTTGTCTCCCGCGCACACACACTCACATGCGTTCTCCCAGAGGAGCCTTGCGGTCAGATCTATCCTGTGATGTTCATTCCTGTGCGCTCCAGCGAGTTGCTGCCGCAGATAAGCCGCATCCCGTGCCTGGTTTGCGGCAGCATGTGACCACCTTGGGGTCTCGAAGTCTGAGCAAACTTCGAGCCCGAGCCCGTTTGTATAGTGGCCCACATGAGCACAGGGGAGGTCAAGTGCATGAGTGGAGAAAGCAGATCTGTTCCTGCATTGTGGCAGTGAGCGTCACGCTGTATCATGTGGTACGGATAATGAAGATACTGAGAGACTTTTGTATGATCCATTCATTTGTTGTTCCGATTCATTTAAAGACGGCTGAATTTAGTTGTCAAAGCTTGGTAGATGATAAAGACCCCGTAAATAATTTGTAAATTGCGCCACTAAATTGGTGCACAGGAGGATTATGCACGACTAACAAAAAGTTTTGGGATATTCAGCTTTGGGGTGAATATTTTTTTCATAAATATGGGCTTCAACTTCTTCAACTCTATCGTATAAATGCAATTTCAGTATCAATAGCAAAGTATAAAATGTTAAAATGCTGTGTGTTTATCATTGTTCGTAATTATGGTTGGGCAAGTACCGACGATACCAGGTACAGTATTGGTGTCGCGCCACTAAAATAATTTTAAAGAATGGAGGCAACCGGCCACCGAAAGAAAGTCAACAATGATCATCATCTGCATCAGAAAGAAAGGCCTTTGTCGACAATTTCTTGTCACTATGTTCAATTAAAATTTTCAGATCAAAAGTAGCCTACAGGCATCAATACTCTGTGTTGGCAAATACTCAAAGAGTCAAAACTCTTTTGGTTTCGGTCTGAAAAAAAGTCAAATCGATTGTCCCTGTTTGTCATATTGACCGTATTTGTGATTGCTTAAATGAAGTACCATTTTCGATCAACACCTAAGCGATCCAATTCTCACATCTTATTCACTTTTTTTAACAAACTGAAGTACTCTTAAGAAAATGAGAAGGGATCTACATAATATGCACATTTTCTTGAATTTCCCATGACTTTTTCATTGAAAAACAGTCAACATAATGCACACACATATTTGGCAGCCACTAGCATGCTGATTACTACACTAACCTAAACTTGACCCCAAGTTTACCAAGACCAAACAATTCCTGACTTCATTTTGCCAAATTTTCACTTCCTTTTCGGTTTTTCCACAATTTCAGCCACATATTGCCATCGTGAGCAAACGTGGAACTTCTGAGAAGGGGCGGAACATACGCCCAGTCAGGCATTTGCGCCTGAGGTAAAGTGGAGGAGAGGTCAGCTGGTCTGAGGTCAGCTGGTCTTAAGACAGAATGAAAGAATCTGGAATATTATTCGAAGCATGTGATGTTGGGTGAGGGCACACACAAAGTTGCGTATGCGCGAGAGGGTGTGTGTGAGATCACACATTCTGTCTGAGGACAGCCCCTAAATGAGTTTAACGAGATTGGTGAGAACAGTAAACTGCTGGCAGGGTGAAGAAAGTGAGGGTGGAAGGAGGTTGGATGCTTGGCAGGGCAAATCCTCAAACAGCAAAATCAGGTAGTTTTTATAAAAGTGCATTTCTTCCAGATATTTTTTCAAGGCGACTGCTGTAGTGAAAATGAATTAGTTTGCGCGTGAGTAAGCGGAAGTCGCTTTTTCTTTTCGATAGGTGTTCCAGTGACCACTGCTGAGCGCCAACACTCCATCATGAGGAGCCCGTTTCCAGCCGTGCTCGTTCTGCAGCTTCTCGGGACCTGCTTTTGCCAATTCCCTCGGCCCTGCGCCAACACGGAGAGCCTACGGACCAAAGAATGTTGCCCCGTTTGGGATGGAGACGGCTCGGCGTGCGGCGCCCTGTCAGGCCGAGGTTTTTGCACCGAGGTGCTCGTGTCAGACGAGCCCCACGGTCCGCAGTACCCCCACAGCGGAATTGACGACAGGGAGCGCTGGCCTTTGGCCTTCTACAATCGAACCTGTCGCTGTGTGGGAAACTACGGAGGTTTCGACTGCGGGGAGTGCAGGTTTGGCTATTGGGGAGCAAACTGTGCCGAGTACAGGGAATCAGTGCGGCGAAACATCCTGACGCTGTCAGCTGCTGACCAGCAAAAGTTCATCTCCTACCTCAACCTGGCCAAGAACACCATCAGCCCCGACTATGTCATTGCCACGGCAACCAGAGCAGAGATGGGCGAAAACGGTGAGAATCCAATGTTCAGTGACATCAACTCCTACGATCTGTTTGTCTGGATGCACTACTACGTGTCGCGAGACGCCTTCCTGGGTGGGCCGGGGAACGTGTGGACCGACATCGACTTCGCCCATGAATCTGCAGCCTTTCTGCCCTGGCATCGAGTCTACCTGCTTCACTGGGAGAATGAGATCAGGAAGCTCACAGGAGATTTTAACTTTACCATCCCATATTGGGACTGGAGGGACGCCCAAACCTGTCAGGTGTGCACCGATGCTTTGATGGGGGGCCGCAGCCCCTTCAATCCCAACCTCATCAGCCCTGCGTCCGTCTTCTCATCGTGGAAGGTAAGGATATTTTCATTCGCTTTTCCCTATTAAGTCTGTAAAAATGAAATTCTGAACCAAGGCTCAAAGTAGAGGATGGTTTGGTTGGTTGAAACCAGAGAAAATGACAATTTTCCACTTATTTAACCAAGGAAGATAGCAAAAGAAATCCTTTTATCGAGCATGGTTTACCCAAAAATTTCAGTTCAAGAGGTTAATTAGGGGTCCACAAATGAATAAATTGGCTCAAAAATACAGTATATATTACATACATACAGAGAAATGATACTGCAGTTTTTCTAGTTTCTTTTCTTAGTTGAAAATCTCACCTAGAAGCTTTTTTTTTTTTGTTTGTTTTTGTTGGGGTTTTTTTTTGCTCTTTCTGAATGAGCTGGGATAGACCCCAGCACACCCGTGACCCTCGTAAGGATAAAGTGGTACAGAAAATGGATGGAAGGATGAAACGCCCTAAATGCTACTTTTATAATAAAAAGGGATCTGACACTATCTTGTTGGGTCTCTGTGCCAAAGAACTGAAACAAGCTTTTAAGTTCAGGAGAACATGAGAAGTGACAAGCGATTTGTCACGATTTTCGGCAGGGCTCAGTCCCTATTCTTGTACATCGGTGGCTCTCAAACTTTTTACACCAAGTACTACCTAAAAAAATACTTTGCTCTCTAAATACCACCATTGTGACCGACATTAAAATACAGCGATGTATTAACCCAGTAGCAGTTGATGTTAATCAAAAACAAAGCATCGGCTTTATTCCTAAAACATAAAACGGTAATATTATTGTAAGCCACAGGAACATTATGCATAATTTAAATATAGCACAACAAAAAAAAAGAAAAACTTTACTGAAGTAATGACTACAAATTGTACCTAAATAGAAACAAACATCCCGAAAAAATGAAATGCAAATGTATTGTACTTAATTGTTAAATGCAAATGAACTGTATTCAACAAATGTGCTGGACTGGATTAGAACAAATGGAATCCATTGTAACATTATGCACAGTTTGACTATTTATTTCACTGATTCTTGTGGGACTTGTACACTTTGAGGTTCACTACGGTACATTAACGAAGAGTGCCTATTATTATAAACGCATACAAATGTTTATAATTAATGTTCACCTTCCTCTTGAGTTTTGCCCCTCGTCCTCAGTTGTTTATGAAAAGAAGTTGAATTACCTTTTGCGTATCGGTCTGCGTACATGTAGGTGATCTGCACTCAGCCTGAGGACTACAACAATCGTGAGGCATTGTGCAACGCGACAGGGGAAGGACCGCTGTTGCGTAACCCCGGCAACCACGATACCAGCCGAGTGCAGCGACTCCCAACATCAGCTGATGTCGACTTCACTGTGGGCCTCCGGGAGTACGAGACCGGAGCCATGGACCGCTTTGCCAACATGAGCTTCAGGAACGTTCTTGAGGGTAAGAACAGTAGCCACACACACACACACACACACACACACACACACACACACACACACAAAAATACACACTAATACATTTGTATTCCTGTACTCACATGGCTAACAAGTGAATGGGAACATAATCCTCGAGCTAATCTCTCTAATCTAGAGGAAGATTTTTGGCCCATTTGCAAACTCACACGGGGATAGATATTCATCATGGTGAGAATGTCTATCCCCATTCATTTCCTACACCAATTAGATTGAGTGGGGTCAAGAGAGGCGGCGTACAGTCAGTCAAAGGCCTGACACATCTATCTATCTATCTATCTATCTATCTATCTATCTATCTATCTATCTATCTATCTATCTATCTATCTATCTATCTATCTATCTATCTATCTATCTATCTATATCTATCCATCCATCCATCTGTTCTGACAGCCATGCAACAAAGATAAAGGATAAGCAATAATAGCACATATTAGAGTTTACTTCCTGTCATTTCCCTTCAAAGTAACGTTCCAACTGCATGACTGCAATCGTCCCGAATTAATTAAAATTCAAACCCCAGTTGTACTAGTTATTTGGGATTTGCTGTCTTGCATCCGACAGCGACACAGACATCTATGCTGCTGAACATTTGCTTGTCGTTCCAAATGAGAAATCATTTTCAAAGGAAAGCGACAGCATCAGATGCGCATGAAATGTTTCTTTCATTCTTTTTTTTTTTTTTTTTTACTGGCAGCCTCACCCAGAATGGGCCCACCGGTTGAGAATCTCTCATGTATAAATTTTACTCCCTTTAGCTGTGGAAAGATGTCTTGATATTTTTGTCTATAATATAAAAAAAAAAAAAAAAGGGTGTCCTCACGCTTCCTCCTTCAGGTTTCGCCAGTCCAATCACAGGCATGGCGGTTCAAGGCCAGAGCACCATGCACAATGCCTTGCACGTCTTCATGAACGGCTCCATGTCCTCTGTGCAAGGTTCCGCCAATGACCCCATATTCCTCCTGCACCACGCTTTCATAGACAGGTACAGTAAAGCGCCATCACACACATTATTCCAGTTCATTCCCGGCACTAAAACCCAACATATCGGCCTTCTTTTGAGCAGCATCTTTGAGCGTTGGCTGCGAACCCACCAGCCTACACGGGCCTTCTATCCATTTACCGACGCGCCCATTGGCCACAATGACGGCTACTACATGGTGCCATTCCTGCCTCTTTATAGAAATGGAGACTATTTCCTCTCCACTAAGTCAATGGGATATGAATACGCCTATCTGTTGGATCCAGGTCAGTCAAGAAGATCGTGAGTGAGGGACTTTTTCATTCACCAGCTTTGTTGATCTGAACTTGTGTCATCCTGTCTGCCTCCACTGCAGGTCAGCGATTTGTTCAGGAAATCCTGACACCTTACCTCCAGCAGGCCCAGGAGATCTGGCCGTGGTTGCTGGGAGCCGGTATCATCGGGGCGTTGATCGCGGCAATCACCGCGGTTGTGGCCGTTGTGGCAAGAAAGAAATGGAGACGAAACCAGAGGAGGAAGAGGACGTCCATTTTTGGAGAACGACAGCCGCTTCTTCAGAGCAGCTCAGAGGAAGGCTCAGCTTCCTACCAGACTACTCTGTAACACTCACACACACACACACACACACACACACACACACACACACACACACACACACACACACACACACACGCACACACACACTTACACTAGCTTAGGTAATGACATTCTGACAGGTTCCTGGGTTTCTAAAGATAAAATTTGGTGAAGAGTTTGTGCACCTGAATCACGTTTTCTCCTCATTTTAAAAAAGCAAAAGCATATGTCTACACGTATAATGAGTGTCCATTCTTACTATCTTTTGCATACCAAACCAAAGATTTAGCCCATGAAGTAAAATGCACAGTAATGATCCAATTGTCATAAACACTTCCATGTATTTGCTGATAAGGTATCTAGGATACACTGCACATGTACAAAAAAAAAAATCTTACTCATAATGTCAGACGCTGTAAATTGTTGATTTGGGTGCACCAACCTTCATGAAGTTTTTAAACAGCAAGCTGAAAATCATTCAGGAAGATATCCCACATATTCCAAACATTTACCAATCAGAATACACTGAGGACGTGTGGGTACACATGCATGTATTGATAATGATATTGATAATTATAATTGATGATGATAATAATAATAATAATAATAATAATCATAATAATCATAATAATCATAATATGAACAAAGATTCACATGCTTGAGTTACGTGAAAGAGCTTGACTTGAAAGGTGTTTGCTAAATATTAACATACTCTATATTCAGAAATTAAATGGGTTTTAATCACTATTAAATGTACAATTGTATAATTATTTTTGATATTATGATGGCCCAATTGAAAGTGAAGGTCAAATGAAATACAATGAAATAAAATTTTAAAAAGTGCAATTATATGTTATATGTGCCTCCACTAGTCTAAACACAGAAGTCTCATTAAAATTGGATTGTGGAATAAGAATGTAGCAGATAATAAATCCACGTAACCAAACCCAGAAATTCAACGGCAGCAATTCAAACCCATCAACACTTTGACGTGAATTTCAGCCAACAGCAGGGGGCAATGCTGCATAAAATTTCAGCCTCTGCGGATGGCTGAAAATGGGTGGATTTGTCTGGTTCATTTTTATTCCACCAACTCCATTTGAAATTCCGTGTTTAGTGGGGGCACAAAGTATATTATAACAAAGAAAATGTCTGATTTCCACTTAAAAGGAAATGACCTTGTTTTTACACAAGTGAATACTGTACACTCACCGAAAAACTGGTGCTCAAGGATCGTAATGCACGTGATTTCTCACAAACTCATGAAATGTGAGTGGCTGCATTAAAATCAGATCTGATCCGAATTTTATCTGTGGTCTTTTCATTTGCAAAGAAATGAAAATCCACACATGATGCATCATTTTTCACCTTAAGGGAACGGGACCCAAGATGTGTATCTGTAAAAGTCGTATCTCAAGTTTGTACTCGCAAGTCACTGCAAAGAAATCTTCAGAATGACGGTTCAGATCTCGAAAAACTTGAAGTGACTCGTATCTCAAGGTGCCGCTGTATATCCAGTGTAAAGTGTAGAAAAAACAAAAATGCCCCTTGTGGAATGATTAAACAATTCTTTCAGTATGACATGTCAAACACTGTTACACAGAGTGATGAACTCACCAAGTATGATACACTCATCAAGTTGTGTTTGTGGCCATCACTTGTTGCGCTTGATCACTCTATAATCCAAATAAAGCTCTAAATTCATTAGCAGCTTCCAAAATGAAGCACATTCGAGGTGGTTCATCGTGAGATGGGCTGTTCCCAGTGAACTTCAGGGTGCTGATTTCTTCTCAGGGGCCTCTGTAAAGCACCAGTTTAGGCTGATCGGGGATAATAAGGAGTAGAGTACTGTACAGTCGATCTGTGAATAGCCAACGATCAAGTCCCCTTTTTGGGACAGTTCCTTTGAGAGTGGCTACATTACATATACCCAATGTAATTTCAATGCCGAGTGATTGAATCCAAACGAGCTATGCTTTTCCTGCTGAAGGCCAATCAGCTGAAGGACTCTTTGTTAAATTCAAAAGTAGTTCCAGGAAAGTGAGCTGAGTTACACAGTCTGTGAAGAGTCCTGGAGATGCCTTTGGGTCCACAACAGAACACCCCAACTCGCTTCCTGAAAAGTCACACACGAGCACGATGACAGCGTGACTGTTTGAAGCCAGATGAAAGAATGATCTTTCTTCGTACTCACCGCTTGTTGGTCCTTCCAATTTCATCAAACAGTAACTTCCACCTGGGACGACCCACCAGCAGCCGTGATGCAAGCAGGCGGTATTTCTCCTCAGTTAGGCCCTTTAGGAAAAGCAAAAAAAAACATTAAAGCACAAGCCAGTTCAACCTTCGGTTGTATATGTGTGAAGGAACTCACATTAATGGAGACCATGAACTCTATTGTCATTTTATGCCCTCCAGAATCTTTTATGTTAATTGATGAACCATGTATGGTCATCTACTGTACATTTTCTGTACTTTACTGTTAGTAAATTCATTGTTCGTCAAATTCCTGTTCAATGTTTGGGCTATACAGTTAGTGAGGGAAGAAAACATAAGTCAAACACGTGTTCTATAGCAGTGGTTCTTAATATTGTTAGGGGTAACGAACCCAACCAGTTCATATGCAAGTTCAATGAACCCTTCATTCGTGAAAAATAAAAATAGGATTTTTTTACAAATTCAAGACATTTGAAAAAACACATAAATAAAATTACATGGCCTAAGTATATTTATATTTTTAATTGTATGACGTACTATCACGACAGTCACACGGCGACGACTGAGCGAACTAAATTTCACGCAGCACTGATTGGACAAGAAATGTCATGTGATCATCGGCAGCCAGTGATGGCCAAGTGGGCGTCATAACTAATTGACATGTTGAGTCGCGTGTGTCTTACTCTCCATGGCAAAGGCTCTGTCGAACCCCTGAGACCGATTCACCGAACCCCTAGGTTCTAGCAGAAATGGCACTACACTGGGAATTGGGGAGGGCTACCAGAAATCTCAGCAACCCCAGTTTGGCCCCTCCAGAATTTTATTTCATAATTGGAAATATATTGATAAATTATTTTCTCAGCCTCCCCAGTGTATGGTTGAAGTTCTCCTTTAGCCCCAGAAGAGAAAAAAAAATCCTGCAGACGTCCCTGAATCCTTTTCTACATTACATGTGCCCCTTAATGGATGATAAAGTGGCTGTGTGTGGGTTTTGTGTTTACCCGTGCGTCACCTACCTGCAGGTTGTCTGCCTGACTGACGTACAGTTTCAGGTTCAAGTAGTCAGGTTTGTTTTCGTGCCATAACTAGATGACAAAAAAAGAGAGTACATTTTCATGGCACGAAGCTTCATTTAATTCCATTGTTATGTCCACTACCATCCACGTGATGGCGGCACAGCCTCCACTGATGATTTCCTTCATTATAAAGGCTGTCCTAGTTAACACGAAAATACAAGAATGGTCTTTATATGCACAATGATTTAAACATGATTTGAAGACGAGGTGGTTCTCCACTCTTTATAGCGCTTCCCTCTAACCAATTAGAGTTTAAGTGTTTAGATGATTCAGTTGTGAAAATAATAACCCAGAAGAAGGATTTTAGGGACTTTATCTAGCTCAAGAATTTTCTCCAATTTCCACTTTACTAGTTGATAAGAAATATTTTTAAAAATCAGCGATGTGTCCCTAAACGTGTTTTTGAGGCTGATCTAAAAGTAAAAAAAAATCCTGTTTCCTGTTCACGTCCTGGGCGTGACGTGAAGACACGCTGCTAAAGGCATTGCTCCGTGTGGCTCAAGTGACCATGCACACATTAATGGACGTTATTAATAGAGTTATTGGCGCCGTCGAGTGAGATATAGGCTAATCTTCTATTTTGGATTCATATTTTTAGATCCAGAGGAGTCAGTGCCGAACTAGTCATGAATCTCATCACTGAGCCCTTGGTAACGGCGCTACGATGTGGATTTTTGTTGTTGAAATATTCGGAACAATCGCAACATGTTAATGAGTTTGCGGCCAGTGATTATTGTAACATTTGGCAGCGCTGCGGGTTTTTTTGCCACAAAAATAACCCTTTTGCAGTTTCACGTTTCAATGTGTCTGATTGAGGCACAAAATACAAATTGTGTTTCTCAAACCGCGATGCCAATCCACTTATTTGTGTGTGTCCCCTTGAAATCCTGAGAAACTTTCAGTGACCTTTTCGACAGGCAAGTCCGGACAGCTTGGGACAAGTAGCTCTTCTCTTCTTAGCGGAATGGTCTGTCCTCAAGTCATTTGAAATGACCTACAGTGCTAATAGCGGACCAATCGCGTTGTTCATAGAGTGCGTGCGAGCCAACCTTCTGATGTAGGGTCGACAGCAGCTCAGCGAACCAGTAAAACGATCGCAGCTCCCTGCAGACCCACACAAAGTATAACCTCTTCAACCTGAACCCCATCCAGCCGTCACTGGATCCACAATGAGGAGGAGGGATAAGCGGAAACATTCAAAAGGCAGCTGGAACCAATCTCCACCGCTCGTGTGATGTACAGTTGGGGAAGCACTCACAGAAGAGCATGCAGGATACAGGCGAACGGCGTCACCCCTATTCCGCCCGCGACGCAAAGGCTGACGTCATAGTTGAACACTTCCTCTGAAGGACTTCCAAACGGACCGTCCACGTAAAGCCTGAACATACACATGCACGCAACATAAATGTACAGCGCAAATTAAAACACGGACACAATTAATTGAACTTCCTACGCTGGGTTAAGTACACATGCTCGGATAAACATCCTGCATCTGAAAATCCCACTGCGTTGGTCTGTGCGTGTGCGCGTACACACATTTGTCGTCTTTGCAACAGTTACTTAAACAATTGGATTTAATCGAGAACACACACACACACACACACACACACACACACACACACACACACACACACACGATTCTCATACACACAAACAAGAATATTAAAGTAGACTAAAGAAGCAACTCACTCCACTGAAACTTTTGAGTAAACTACAAAGCTACCAAAAGGGTTCATTGGGTTCGTCTTTCTCTGTAAAATGCAATTCTGCCAAATGAATTGTCGCTCGTCGTAAAGTCCTGCCTTACGTCTTTCTGCATGTTCCGTTTCTTCCTCGACGACCATTGCTTACAGTTTCAGAAGTGTTCAACTGTACTGTCACAAGACTCTCATTCACTCCAAGTCTTCCTACGTCGGCTTCTCACACACTCAGAACAGGAAGAGCACAGTGTCGGGGGGGTCAGGATCTTTCACCCGAATGTGATTTGAAGCTTGCATGAGAATTCACTCCCCCTCTCTCTCTCTCTCCCGCTCTCTCCCTCCCTCTCTCTCTATCGCACACACACACACACACACACACACACACACACACACACACACACACACACACACACACACACATACTTGGGGTATCTTCTCTGATGCACCACAGGGAGGATGTCCAAGTCTCTTGTAAGGTCAGGAAGTAACATCTGTGTGAAGCGCTCTGAAGATAAAGGGAAAAGAATGATTTGGGCCCCCCCAAATTAAAAAGAGCATATTATCAGGATGCAACACAACACATGATTGCAACATGTGTTATTGGATGTATCTTTACGTTTCTAGTAGTTGTGTGGTACTCTCACATGTCATCGTGGCCAATTCAACAGCTAATGCAAACAAACTGGCTTCCCCTCTTGTGTTCTCAAAGCAAGTGCGCATGTGGAAACAACACAAGTTTGCATTTGTCACAGCCTCCCACAGGAAACGGCCCGCTCCCACCTGGGTGTTGCCCCTGACGCGCCGCATGTAGAAAGAACACATTTACTTCACATGCGTTTTGCTTTCTTTTGTATTTTTGTAATGCCACCTCAAAAAAGATCCAAGCGTGTATGTCTCCGACTGGCCTAACAGCGCAATATGGATAGCGCAACAATAACTCGAAATAATGACAAAAAAAAGATTGGTCCTCACGATGGATAATGAGACATGCAACCCAAGGATGTAAGACGGTTTCTGACATGACAATAACACAGCAAGAGGCCTGTTAGACTCACGGTTAACAATTAACACCCATAGAATACACACACACACACACACACACACACACACACACACACACACACACACACACACACACAAATAGCTATTTTTTATGCAAATAATGTAGATTCTTCACAGAGAAAATAGAAAATAGAAAAGGCATACCTCATTCTCAAACATGTGCATGTGTGTGTGTGTGTGTGTGTGTGTGTGTGTGCGTGCAGTAAATACACTCACCAGTCCAGTCTCCAACGACCCGAAGATGAATGCCGAACGTTTCTTTGTTCTCTGTGGGACACTGCAAAGTTCGAAAGCAGACAGTGAATCACAAAGAAACACAAAGACACAAAGACACACGCACACACGCACGCACACACACACACACACACACACACACACACACACACACACACACACACACACACACACACACACACACACACACTCATCGTGCAGACTCTGAGACAACTCAGTTACTGGAGAGTACTATAAAAAACACAAATAAAAAACATGTGCAAAGAGCTTTGCAAAGCAACATGATTTTCCATTAATCGTGTTGAATTACACCCACACACAGATGGATACACATGTACGCCTTCCGGTTGGCAGATCCTAGCCTCAGGGTCCGTCTGCTCTCTGTAAGAGTGATTCCCCCTACCAGTTGTGCACAGTGTGTGTTTGTGTGTGTTCCCAGCAACCCTACAAACGATGTGTGCGGCTAAATCGCTAGAAGCCCTTGCTGTCAATTAAGTGAGTTCAGGTTGCAGAGGGGGCAAAGTAGTACAGTACATGTTTTCCCAAAAAACGAGGCACTATGATGGCGTACCAAGGGTAAGTATACTCGTGCGTTTTTAATATCACATGTCGGGAACATGTCGGAAAAAGCTTAGAGTTGCGTTGCACTCTTACCGCCGTTAGCGTGAAAGGATGGTTCTCAAATGACGAGACATTGGGACAGTTGAGGACAATATACTGTAAGAGAATGGAAGGAGTTGAAATTGAGAAACGAAGAGTGCAAGCTGCCATGATGTGAATACAAGAGCAAATGCATTTGAGATGTAACCAAACATACATCTTACCTGCCCCGGACGAGCTTTAAAGTTCTTCTTAAGCATTCGTAACTCAATGACATCACAGGGGTGCCTGATGACAGTCACTATGGTAACCGGATCACTGCTCCGGATATAGCGGTACAGACGCTCCGCACAGTAGAGACACAGAGGACCCGACACCCACAGCCATGTCTATTTGCACAAACACACACACACACACACACACACACACAGCACATCCAGTATGAATCAATTAACCACAAAACCTTTTGTCAGCTCACCCGCAACCCGAAAGGGGTTCAGAAAATGGCCAAAACTCGTGCTGCTTTTTCACAGCACCATACAGACCTTAGCTCAGTTCACAATTGATTTCCTACAATAGGCATGCATAAACCAAGCTGCTTCTAAAACGCATCAGTCAGCATGAAACATACTAAATAGCAACCAAGGTCTTGTGTATTAACATCTTGTCAAGTGTCTGGTGGCTACGGTCAAGAGATAAATGATATTATAGAGGAGATTGGGGAAACACACCACAACATTGAAGTGGAGACAGTGGAGTTAAGATAGTTGGGCTTCCAGAAATAGGGGAGACGAACTCCAGCGTGTGTGTTTGTACTTTCTTTTTCCAATAGAAAAGTGGCATTATTGTAGACTTGCAAGTATGATGATGCATTTATTCAAACAAGATTTGCATCACAGATATACACATAACACATAAGCAGAATGTTTTTTTGTGTGTATTTCTTAAAATGAAGGAAATCATAAATAATCGGAAAACTTAGAAGACAACATAAACATAAATAATCGGAAAACAGAAGAAGAAGAAACTCCAAACTGATGAGGAAGATGACAGTTGGTTCCCCAAAACAAGAGATGATTCACTTGTGTGGTCGTATGATAGAGTCACAATACTATGGCGTATTACTTTTATGCAATTCCAGGGTAGGCCCCAATTAAGGACTGAAGCCGCCGCCCACGGGCCTGATCAAAAGGTAGTTCACCAGTGATGGGACATAATGATGATCCAATAATCCCAATGGCAGCAAGGACGGATGACATGTTAAATAAAACAATGTGCTGTCCTGTGTTGTGCTGTTACCTATTCTCTTTTGGCGTGTACCTGTTGCAGCCTAATTGCTCACAGCTCCTCTAAAGCACGTGGAGGCTTTACAGGGGATTTTATGGCGCCGCCTTTTAGCTTAACGACCATGTGCAAATACATTACAGCATTAAAAAGATGCAACCCCCGAAGAGCACCACACCTCTAATAAACAAGACCTCCCCCGACACACACACACACACACGCACACACACACACACACACACACACACACACACACACACACACACCCACACACACACACACACCCACACACACACACACACACACCTGTGGGCAGTGGGGTTGGAAGTGAGCCTCTGCTTTGCACGGCATCTCCTCTTGCACACGTTTCTCTAGTTCCTCCCCTTGTTCCTCTGCACGGCTGTGGTTGGCTCGTAAGCATCCAGGGGGATGGGCCTCGATGTTGGTCTGATATTTTAGTGCTCCTCTTTTCAGAAGATGGAAAAAGATGACGATCAATTTATGCCAGTTTTACACCTCCGCAGAGCATAAAGACAAGGAACTCCTTATTTGTGCCCAGCGCATGTCAGGCAAACGGCATGGAATAGATATGAGCATAGGGAGGCTAGACTAGTTTTGCTATTTTCGCAGGCACGCGCGGTTAGAAACGGGTGATTTGCGCCGTTGTGGGCGTGAACACATCTGACTTGTATGAAAAGCTGAGAATGGTATTTAGTTTAGTACATGTCTGATTTTTTTCACAGAGGGCGGCACGGTGGTCGACTGGTTAGCACGTCGGCCTCGCAGTGCAGAGGTCGTGAGTTTGAATCTTCCTCTGTGGCGTTTGCATGTTCTCCCCGTGCCTGCGTGGGTTTTCTCTGGGTACTCCGGCTTCCTCCCACATTCTAAAAACATGCATGGCAAATTTGCATGGAACACTCAAAATTGTCGCTAGGTGTGAGTGTGAGCGCGGATGGTTGTTCGTCTGTGTGTGCCCTGCGATTGGCTAGTAGCCGGTTCAGTGTGCCCCCCGCCTACTGCCCGAAGACAGCTGGGATAGGCTCCAGCACGCCCGCCACCCTTGATAAGCGGATTATAAAATGGATGGATGGATGGATGGATGTATTCACTGATAGTCATACATACTTTCTTTGAGAAAGAGTGCAGCAAAACACACAGGTCGTGTTATGATTATTGGTCTGATATCAACCAATACCTACCCGACCATGTGCACCATCAGAATGATATAGAAGATGATGAAGAGGTTGTGTGTATACCAGAAGATCTCATAGTTGTATATTCTGAAACAATTAAAAGGGCAACAATTAGTGTTGTATTTCCAAGAAATTATTTGAAATATAATTGGTCTATTTAAAGACAGCTGTTTTCGTATGGGGAACAAAAAGCTGAACGAGGGACAAAGAGGGGGGGAAAAAATAGAGCAAAGACAGCAAAAGAAGAAAGCGAGATGAGTTTGTTCACGAGCAGATGCACAGACTCCCAGCTCAGAGCCTGACTAAGCAAGACATCAGAGGTCAATATTAGAGGGGTCATTACACACAATGACCCCCACGGCCCATAAACACCACTCACAATGACCATTTCAAACACTCTAGTCACCACTTTGAATTCAACTTCTTTCGAAGCTTGGAGCCCTGTTCTTTCATCCTCTGCACGCTGCCAACATATGTCACAATCCAAAATTGTTGGTTGAAATGGTCTCCGTGTCTCCCTCACTTGAGGTCAGCATTTCCAAATATGTGTGTTTACTGGAGTGAGTATTTTAGATTTATCAATCAGATTTATATTCAGTTCATATCAACAATTTAAGTGAAGTGCAAAAAAAACAATACAGGACAAGAAAGCCTGGATGACCATGAGGGTTGATGTGGAGTACTCAACAGGTTTTGTCTGGCATCATCCCATTACTCGGTTCATTTATCACAACCCTTATCTCTGTCCTCGAGTAGACTGGAGATTCCTCTTAACCTCTCTTCATTTGCTGAAGGCAGTCAAGAGAACACACTTACACACACGGACACACATGGAGAGCGAGTGACCCACTGTGACCTGAAGTAATGACAGTGCCATGAGTGAAGCACTTAGTCGAGATTTGCTCTGTAACAGACCTCTGCTCTCCTTTGCACACGCGCGGAGCGGTGAGTCATCAGCGACAGCACAATAAAGACAGAAGTGGAGACAGACCAGCAAGCACAGACAATACAGATGAGACGTTATCCTGAATTTGGAAAATTTTAAGGGAGGGGGTGGGGGATGGAGTTATCCTGTCATGATCACCTACCGCACGCAGTAGGAGGAAGACGTGAACATCAGGAAAAGGATGACAACTAATAGAACACCAGTGAGTCCGGGAACTGAAAGTCAATCAGAGAGCCAATCAGAGCCGACGAGCCCGGTTAATACACCTTTGATATTCATGATAAAAAAAAAAAAGACAGTATTATCTTACCTGTGGTCAGAATGATTCGCTTTGGGTCCTAGGCAGACAGCGACAGTCAAAATATGAACTATTGTCTTGTCATGACATTGAGCTTCATTTGCCAACAGTTGTTGATAAGTAAATCAACTCAAAACTTTTCTTGACAATAATAGGTTCTACGTGCCTCCACTGGCTTAAACACGGCATTCTGATTAATATGGCGTTTGCAGAATATGAGTTAAGCGGTAAAAATCAAGCCGTTTTGTCCATCATCACGGCCAATCATGGCACAGCTTCAGAAAACAGGTGAGCCGTGAATTGTCTGTGAAAGTGGCAAAATGGCCACCCCCTGAGATGGCTAAAAACGGGGGGATTTTGCTGCTTAGATTAAAGGAGGTACGTAGAACATATTATTGTTGAAGAAAATGTTTGGGTTGACTTCCCCCTTAACAACACATTTGTTCTTAGATAGAATCCTGCAGTTTAACAATATCATGGAATAGGCCTCAATTGCAATTACAGTGGATACCAAACGGCTACACAGCCTTGTTCAAATGTCAGTTTTTTTGTACCGTAATGTGAAAAAAAAATCATTTTTGCACCATCGGCACTTCTATAGTACATGATGTAAATAGACATCATGTTTGATGAGCTCTTCATTCATAAAGTATGTTTATTTCTCACCTCTCCTTTGTAGCGAGCAAAATTAAGAGCCGGAAAGTCTTCTGAGTAGCTGCTACTGAAGTTCATAACGTTGACGAGGTGGGCAGAGACATGAACGACTAGAACAAGAAAATTATGCAATCATGTTTGAGAACACTCAGTCACAATATCAGCCGAGACACAAACAGACACGCAGACACCACATTTGAAGGTCCAACTAAATTGGTATCGGACAAGCAAACACAAACGTCCTTGTCCAATCAGCAAAAAGTCAGCAAAACATCTTCCTGACTCAGACGCACATAGACTCCCTGACATCATCGGCTCGCCACGCAGCCATTTAACAGCTGACGGTATTAGAGGCCGTAATCATGAGACGCAAGGGTCTTTTTTCTCCAACGCACATCCTCTCCCATTCCCACGACTCCCACCCACCACACTCTGTCTTACCGCAGCTCCTCACTCACATTTCACCCCGCTGCCCGAAGACCCCCCCCCCCTTTTTTTGTTCTCATTGTCTTTTGTCTCACAACTTTGGAATTTCTCTATTAGAAGAACTTTGCCTTGAGGAAGACGGGGTGTGTGTGTGTGTGTGTGTGTGTGTGTGTGTGTGTGTGTGTGTGTGTGTGTGTGTGTGTGTGTGTGTGTGTGTGTGTGTGTTAAGAAAGGTGACAGGATTTTGAGATGATGTATGTCATGCTTATGTCTGTCCTTACATGTCCTTTTTTTGTGTCTATTGTTTCAAAATGGAAGTCTTGCCAACACCGTCAACTACTAAAAATCGCAAAGATCAACCTCATATGAACACATTTCTGTAATTTCATTCCATTTATTTTAAACTACTTTTGACAATAACTTTTGAACATATTTATGAACACAGCGACATGAAAAAAAAAACCTGAGAGAGTACTGCCTATTATTTGTTTACTTGTAACATGTTTCAGAAAAGTTTTAGCATTGGTGTCACACAAAAGACCCAAACCATGAACTGCGAATTTCAACCAGCATTGCTACGGTGCGATCCTTTCACGTTTACGTCATTCATGGCTGACAAGAGGCAAGAGGCAACCCGTGGCTACTTCACCTGGAGAAAGAGCATCTGACAGCTCCTGGCCTCGAAGAACATTCCCATGCTAGAGCCACTTCCCTACCCATCCGACCTGGGTCTATGTGATTATTTTCTCGTTCCCAAGACCAAGAGGTTCGTCAAGAGGATGCTATTGAAGATATCAAAAATGACCATGATGACACCAAAACTTGTCACTTGAATTCGAAATACATTTTTGGTGACACCGGTCCCAGAGCGTTTCTGACACATTTCATATGACTGTCTATGTGTATCATGGGAGACTCTCTAATTGTCTTCTACACAGCTGCTCCAATGTGTGAGATGGAACAATGGTATAACATTCCCAGACTGAAACGCCGACATAAAGCCAGCAGGAGACATTGTTCACACCTTGCTCATGGAATCCTGTCTTCATTCACTTAACACTAAAATGCACTTTTCAGCCAAGCCCCTTCTAGAAATGGACATTATTATGCCTGGTTTTAGCTTTTTAGTATTTCCAGTTGATAGACTGCGTCGCAAAGTGTAAAATATCCATCTGGCAAGAAACCACGGTGAACACTGACAGTGTTTCTATTTGGGGTTGTAGGAATTTGCCATTTGTTTCCTGGTTTGCCAGCTGCGTTGATTCAATACTCATGAGTCAAAATGATGTGAGGAAGAATTGCTGTATAACGGCTGTAATGTTGACATACTGCGATAGCTCAGCATAACCGTGTATCTTTGTCACCTTGGCTTGTCCTCTTTTGGGAACTAAAACAAAGCGTTCTGCCAGGATTTACACAAATGAACTCGATCTGCATGTATTCTTCGATGAGTATTGGTTTGCTTTTGTCTTAGATCACATCTACTTACTCAGTAGGAGTAATTGGAAAGAGTGAAGACTGTTTTGATATAAACAGCTTCCAAAGTCAACTACAGTACAACAAATGTTTTTTGTTTTTTTTAAATCAGTAATTTACTATTCAGATTTAGTCATCTGTAGCTACTGTATATGTAAAGTGTAATTCTTAATTGTTATTGCTTTGGTATCTTTCTTTTTTTTTTTTTTTTTTTTTTTACACGGCTTAACTACAAATCATCTTCCAGATTCCCGAATCTCCTCTTTTTGGAAACCATGAACACACACCTCAGCTATTGCCACTTTTCCACAGCGCAGTATATGCCAAGCTCAGCTCAACTCGTCTCAGAAAACCATGTTGAACTGAACACATCGGACGAATGTACTGTACTATGCACTGTAAGAATGACTCCAAGGAGCGACAATCATGCCACGGGATAAGACTCGCATGAACACACACACCCCGAAAACTGAGAGCACACACCCATCAGCTGGAGTGGAAGGCAGCTGGTACTGCAGGAATGCTGATCCGACATGGATCCAGTTATGCATTCACGCAAATGTGCGCACACACAGCGAATGAGTTATAATCCTTTGGCTGCTGTGTATTTACCAGAGAAGATGCAGATGGCAACTCCACAGGCCACATGGAAGGTCTTACTCCTGTCCAGCAGTCGCCGGGTCTTTCTGCTTGATACCTTGAGTGGGAGGCAAATGAACAAACAGCAGTTCGAGCAAATGAAACTATGAGTTGTCAGAGGGCATCATTCAAGATGGCAAAATGCTCCGTTACGCACGACCGTGTGTAAGAAATGACAATGGCTTGAATGCTGAATTCCATTAAATAAATAAATAAATACATACATAAATAAATAAAAAGCAAAAATCCACTGATGTTTAACTCAAGCCATGGGGTGAGTCAGCGTTGGTTATCCCGAATACAGATGCATGAAAAAAGACGCTTATTACCGTGTGTGTTCCTCGGACGAACGTAAGAAGAGTGCGACACATGGGCAACAGCACCAAGCTGCAATTTAGGTTCAGCACAGATGCTGAAGCCCTGCTGATGCAAAGTCCAAGCTGGAAGAAAACACACACACACACACACACACACACACACACACACACACACACACACACACACACACACACTGTAATGCAGGTTCCTGCGCTTTTGGTAGAGATGGTTGACACTTTTTTAGACGGGTTTTTGTGGAGCCATTGGGAAGGGCGTTAATCAATGTACAACTTAATTACATTTTCAATGGCCATTGAAAGCTGTTCATCCATCCATCCATCTGTTTTCTATTGCTTAGCCTGTTCAAGGTCACGGCTGAGTTGAAGTCTATAGCATCGCACTTTGGTGAAAGAGGTGCACCATGGATAGGTTGTCAATCACAGGGCACACAACTTTGGCCTTCGGTTCACCTAAAACATCTTTGTGGAAGGGTGAAATTAAAGGGAGTGCCTAAGGAAAACACACGGAAGCACGGGAAGAACATGCAAAGGGTTGACACAAAAAAGTTCAAAGCCGATTCCAACTCCAAACTTTGTAAAGCAGACATTCTTACAAAAAAATGGGAAAAAAAAGAAAAGATAAAAGAATAATTGCTGTATAAAATGAAGAGTTCATCACCAATCAGTGTTTTCGCCGGATGAATTCTGCGAAGCGGAAGAGTACCTGACCAGGGTGAAAGCTGTGCTGTTTACCTCGAGTGGCACGTGAGGGTTTTCAGATGTGTAATCTGGCCCCGCACAACCAGTCATTCATCAGTAATTAATTTTATTTTTTTCATGCCGTCCGTCGGTTCGGAGTCAGTCTGCATGTTTAAAGGCATTTCCTGAGCACTCTGCTGGTGCCGTCTCTTGTTATTAAAGCTCCCAGATGACAAAACAATTGATGCGGCTCATACAGGTAAGCATAGTAAAGAAGTTACCAAGCAGAGGCGTTTCTTTGCAGTGGACATCTTGGATTAAAAATGAAAATAGTCCCGACACTATACTTCTTTAGTCTTATATCTTTTTTTCTTTTACGGACTCATGCAAAGTTGCAAACAGAAAAAAAAAAAACAACTGACAAAAGCATTCAGGGAAATCCAGCAAGATCTCAAACACACACAGACACCATGCAGGTGAATTGGAAAAGTGATTTTGAAGTTACATTTCAAATCATTTCACAACTGATAGAGCACTGAATCGCTAATTTGTGTACACATGTACACAGAGATTTAAGGCCTTTGTCAAGGCATTCAGTTGAAACCAGCAGCATGCCCACACTTGTCCCTCTCTCCCCCCGTGCTTCCCAACCAGTCAGGCTGCACATGAATAGCTCACACATATTGCTTGTTGCCATGTCTTATTCCCCCCCCCCTTACAAAAAAAAAAAATCCTGCATGGATTTTTGTGTGATTTTCAGTTTGTTTGTTTATTTTTCTTTTTCCACTTTAGTCAGAAAACCATCTCTTCTGACCTAATTTGATAATGTCAGGGGTGATTTGGAGTGTCAAAAAAATAAAAAAAACACACATAGACACACTGCCAGGAACTTGTGACAACAATTACACTAATGTTCACATGGCCCTGCAGGCATCAAATTCCTACCTCAGTGTGTGTGTGTGTGTGTGTGTGTGTGTGTGTGTCCAAGCGTGTCAGTCTTGACTGCCCCTTTAGTTGGCGCGTGCGTACACACACACACACACACACACACACACACACACACACACACACACACGCACGGTAGACGCAAACGCACACGTGGATTCATTCAAGCTGCAAGCGTGATACCCAAGCTTTGTCCACCACAAATCATGCCTGCAAAGATATGAATGGCAACTAAACTTAGAAAAGTGTCTCAGACGACAAGCGGGTGCTCACAGTAAAGTCAGCATTGGTTCGTTAAGCAAAATTGGTTGCATCAAATACTGTGCTGTCAGAAACTGATGTGACATTTTACTTCAATCCAGTTCATGATTATGTGCAGGTGCAGTCTACCCCAGCTGACTTTGGGCGAAAGGACGCACACTACATGTTGTCAGGAAATCTTACGGCACATACAGTACAGAAACATAGTGTGCAACACTTCATTCATACTCACAGTCAGTCTGTGACTGAGTGGGGACTGAACGCCTACACCATCCCTGACTACAATCTAGTCATCTATAAACTTTTCACCAAGGTCCAATTTGACCAGGTTGTGTTGTAAAACTATCCTTTAATGTATGTACAGGTAGGTATACTGTGGCTGAATACTTCTTATTGTGATGTTTCTACGTCATTTTATATCTGACCCAAGATACAGTACCGAGGTAGCTGAGGTCGTGTGTGTGTGTGTGTGTGTGTGTGTGTGTGTGTGTGTGTGTGTGTGTGTGTGTGTGTGTGTGTGTGTGTGTGTGTGTGTGCTTACCCCGAGCATCTTGTAGAGGTAGTGATACTGCTGTCCACTGCAGTACATCAGGAAGGTTTTGACAAAGAGCCAGGTGTTAGCTCCCAACCACATCATCTACACGAAGACAAATACAGTTCAGTGCTTAACTCGTCACTACACTGAAAAAGTTGACAAAGCTGCCTCTACCAGGACGAAGTGTTTTCCTCCCTCGTTGGCGAGCCAGCTGCGCGCTGACACAACCATCATGTCCCCGACCTTCTCGTCAAAGTGCCGGTAAGTGTGTGTGCGTGTGTGCGCGTGTGCGTGTGTGTGTGTGTGTGCGTGTGTGTGTGTGTGTGTGTGTGTGTGTGTGGCTGAGGGAGCTCCAGACAGGCAGCCAGCTCTTTCCCTCGACCTAAGTTGAAGAGCTTGTATGTATATGAGAGTGAGGGGGAGGAGGGTGTAGAGGGGCTTCGGAGAGAGAAAGCCGAACATTTCTGTATTAGCCCATAACGGCCACAAGAGGGAGCCACCGTCCCGATCAAGTCAATTGATGCCTTTTGGAGCCTAGCCCGAAGGCACCTGGGCTAGGCTCCAGCACGCCCCCGCAACAGTCCTGAGGATAAGCAGTTCAGATAATTGATGGATGGATAGTGAAGGTTTGTTTGTTTGTTTGTTTGTTTGTTTGTTTGTTTGTTTGTTTTAACCTCAAAGGTATTCAAAAATACCTAATACCATTGGTACGATTTATAGAATATCTCGTGCCTTCAAATCACATCCTTGTCATCTTATTGGGAACATTGGAAGAAAACAAAGTTAACTGCCACTTGTTTTGGATCATGTTATAATTTAAAAGAAACGACTACTTTAAATGTCTTGTAATAGTTCCGACTCCCTTTAAAAAGTAAAAACATGGTCATTTAAGCAGAAAGGAGTCACATAACTTCCCACTTGCAATAAGGTTAACTTTGAAGCCGCACATAATAGTCCAGAGTAAACAAGACACTCTTTGTGGATGTTGTGTTATTTTAACATGTAATTTGTCCACATGCATTGTCTCACTTTGAACATTTATCGAGGATATCCACAAAGTTACAGTTCATTCATGGGTTTGTGTTTCATATCCTGACTCTTTTGGGATCTGTGGATGATTATCCTTTTATTCCTTGAATTTATTAATACTTCCTCACTGTTTTTGAATTGAGGCCAATAAATAAGAACAGAAAGTTGGGGGGTGGGGGAGAAACTGCACACTGGGGGAGTGAGAATTACCTCGCAACATTCCTGTGACTAACAGAGCCCCCACCTCCTTTCACGCTCCAGTCCATGACATGAAAGAACACCTCCATTGCCACTACACAGCTGGGGTGGGTCAAGTGTTATCTTGGTCTGGGGGAAACACAGCTACGCTATTTCTGCTTCGGTCTCCAATTGATGTATGAGCCCCTTTTGTCAAGTTGATCATAAACTGTTTTGATTCAAACTTGACAGAAGCGTTTGGAATAATTGTGATTGCAAACGTGCTTTAGACGTGCATAACAAAATTAATGAAGATAATGAAATTTATTTGGGGTAGAGGTGGGTGAATCCGTTATTGAGGTAACAAATCTGCAAATCTTTCTTTTGTTTGCATTCTTTCTCCCTATCTTTGTGTAACTTTAAATCATTTTACACACTCACATTCTGTGGGCTAAACCTGTGTATTTATTTTCTAGGGAAATGGAAACAAAGCTTATTATTCTTGGCTGTCCCGTCATGTCTCTCCTTTTCATATGTCATATCCATGACAGATTTGACAACGTCGTCTTCATTGTTCAATGTTCAATGTTCAATGAAGACGACGTTGTCAAATCTGTCATGGTGTTTTGCAATAAAAATTCCTGGAAGCTGACTAAAATACAAGACTATGGTATGCCTAAGGAGGATGAATTTGTAACATATTTCTATAATTTATCATGCGATGTGTTTGCGGTTCTTTAGAAATTAACATGGAAGAAGAGTACTTGTGGTTGTTATTGAATAGTCATGAGCTTGCAATTGTGCTTGAGGCAAACTTTTTTTTTGGCATGCAATAAACATTAAGAAAAGTGTTTTAAATTTTCTTTCTTTCTTTCTTTTTTTAATTTAATCATTTAAACTTTTTTTATGTCTGGGGCTATTGCCCCGCTGGCCCCCCCTTCTGCACGCCCATGCATTGCTCACAGACACAGCCCCCCTCCCCCCACCACCACCACCACACACACACACACACACACACACACACACACACACGCACACACACACACGCACACGCACACGCACATACACACACACACGGAGTGGAGGGAACAAGAGTTGAGTCTCCTGATCCAATGGCCCCACAACTCGTCACATCGGCTGATGGGGGGGAAAAAAAACGATGGACGTGTTTTAAATTATAATTCGACTGTAGCTTCTATTTGGTTTGTTCAAAACGATAACGCTGTCAAATGTCTACGAGAAAAAAAAAACACGAGTGATCGTTACTCTGACGTAACAAAACTCGATCTCGGGGATCTCGGGATTTTCTGTCAATCTACACACGCCACACCTCCTCTTCATTTGGGCCAACTGGTTTCGAGCATAGCGACCCTCTTGACCACCGCGGTAGGCGCTCGTTTGGATTTTTGGAAGCGTGCGCAAGGAGTTGGGTCAGCAAAACATGGCGACAAATAGCAGATCCATTCGCTCTCTCTGCTGGGTTTCGGCCGTGGCAGCTTTGTTTTGTTTGGGTTTCATCGCCGGTGAGTCACTCGAACACAGGTTTAACAGCAACAACAACAATAATAATAATATATAAAAAGACATACTGTGCACAAGTAATTTCAAACTTTGTGTGGATGTGAGAGGAGGCGCGCGTTCTTTGGAAGTGATGAAACGGGACATTTTTGCAGCCAGTAGGTCAACTATATACGGTACTGAATGCAAAAATGTCCCGTCGTTCTCGAAAAACATCAAGACTTTTGGTCTTGAGGCGACATAACGTTGCACGGCTACAGCAGAGTGAGAACGAGTTTCCTAAAACTTCAAAGACAGTTGAGAGCAAATCGATTTGTTCTCAAGCTGTTTGTAACACTTTTAAGTGATGCGGTTACCAACTGCCACGTATTGTGTACACACTGTAGGCTGGTTTGCAAAGCCCACCCACCCAAACTATACAAACGGCGCCTCCAGTCAATATTTGTTGGAGTTTCTGGATGAAATGCAGCCGAGCAAGATCAGAGAGCATCTCAGGTAAGAAGCCGTGCATCATGCCAGTGATTGTTCCAAAAGCAATATGATTAAGCACTTTTTTTCCCCCCTTTCAAGGAAATTTACACGTCTTCCCCATCTGTCCGGCACAGAGCAAAACCTGATATATGCGGAACAGATTCAGAAAGAGTGGCAGGAATTTGGCTTGGACTCAGTGGAGATGGTGCCATATGACGTCCTGCTGTCTTACCCCAATGTATCGCAACCCAATTACATTGCAATTGTCGATGCACAAGGCAATGAGGTAACGTCCATTCATGTCGTATGAAGACACTTACGTTGAATCATGTGTACCGCCCAGGTGTGTGGTATTCGGACAGTTACAGAAATTTTTTTTGGTTTTGTATTTTGCAAAAATCATAAACATTCTGAATGCCAGATCTCCTGACCTCCTTGCTGTCTTTGTTGCTGCATTATTAATTGCTCAACATTAATTTCATTGGACTTTTCCATGAAAGTCCTACAGCCAGTCGATATAGTCGATAAATTTTCAAAATGTATATTTTTAGTTTCCATACATCTGGACCATGTGTTCCAAATTTACTCATTGTAGAGTACTAATTCTAAGAGTTGTTGTTGTTTTCTGTTTACTTAGTCATGTTTCACCTGATTTTGATCTTTTTTTCTGAAGGTTTTCAACACATCCTTGGCTGAGCCCATCCCTGCAGGTTATGAAGACGTCGCCAACATTGTGCCTCCGTACAGTGCCTACTCTGCCCAAGGACAACCTGAGGTGTATAAACAAAACAAGAGTAGAGTTAACATTGTCACGCTGATAGAACAAAAAGCAAGCACAGTCAATTAGAGGTCCCCCCTCATTCGCTCTCATTCTGCCCAGGAGGACTTGGTCTATGTCAATTATGGCCGCACTGAAGACTTTTCCCAGTTACAGCGGCAGATGGGAATTAATGTGACTGGCAAGATTGTCATTGTCAGATATGGGAAGATATTCCGGGGCAATAAGGTAAGAAACACTCTCCACATTTAACTCCTAAACAGGCTATTGTGCAGGTCAGATTTCAAATTTCTCACTTAAAAATGTGAAGAAATATATTTTTTATGGGTGTCTGCGATTTCAAGAAACAGGCCAGCCCCCTCAAAACAGGCTGAGTTGTTAAAGGCTTAAAAATCTTCTGTACGGTGTTTGGCAGAGTTATTATTGATGCTTTTGGGGTTGTGACAAAAGCATTTCACAGACATATTATCAAGATAACTAAAAACGATTAAATTGTGGGGGGAAACATTTCATAAAACATGATTTAATGCCATGGATTTGCATCTGTTTTGCCTCCATCAGGTGAAGAATGCTATGTTAGTCGGGGCAAAGGGACTCATTCTGTTCTCTGATCCAGCTGATTACAGTGCAGATGGTGTCAAGGTAATTTGCATGAGTCAAAACAGGACTGATTTCCAAATGCTCGAGCAACTACTTCCATATGAACATTTTCAGAGGAATATGAAAGTGCCCAAAAAGGGAATTATATGTAAAATACACGTATTATTTGTGTATAACTCTTTGGGTCTCATGAGTGTCTAACCACCCTTTAAGTAAAAGGAAATTTAATGGCTTGGAGATGAAGTCATGCCTCCACGAGTGAAAACACACTTTAATTTTGTCTTTATGGTTGCTGGCTATTTTTTCTTCACTCTCAAGGCTGCTTGAGAACATTTAATCACCAAAGCGGGCCACGGACATGTTAAAAGACACCCGGAAACAGTTTCAAAATTCTGAACTGCATATGTCTGCTTAAGAATGATGTACATTTAACTTAATGGAAAATCCTGCTATCATTGGGATGGGTAGCCGTATCCTGAAGGCTGGAACCTTCCGGGTGGTGGCGCTCAGAGAGGAAATGTCATGAACCTGAATGGAGCGGGAGACTCTCTCACCCCTGGCTACCCTGCTAAAGGTGTGTGTATTTATAGGTTTGGTTCTATGCAAAAGTATGAGGAGAATACTAACATAAAAAAAAATAATAATAATAATCAGTTTCAGAGTAATCGTGTTGACATAATAAAAGAGTGGTTGGGGACCTCTGTTTTTCACTGTACTCTACGTACCGGTATGTGTGATCGACCGGCATCGGGATTACTGTCTGCTCTCTCGCAGAATACACTTACAGATCCCGTCCTGAGGATGGAGTGGGACTTCCCAGCATCCCCGTGCATCCCATCGGCTACCACGATGCATTTCACATCCTCAAGTACATTATTTTACTCCTTTAACTTTTTAAGATGACAATGCAAATGGATGAACGGAATTCATTTTCACCTATGATGATGATTCACTTCACAGGAATATGGGGGGACAAATTCCTCCAAATGACTGGAAAGGAGCTTTAAATGTTTCCTACAGGATCGGTCCAGGTTTTACGGATGACTTCAAGAGCCAGTAAGTGTTTCGGTGTGTATGGTTTGCGCCCAGTTTCCCCTAGGGACAGTCATATACTGTCTCATTCCACCATCCATGTTTTAGGCTTTGGGTTGTTCTTTTGTTGCTGTTTTTTTTTTTTTTTTTGGAGGGGGCTTCTGGCTTCTGAGCTAGTGGCAACTTGCCACAATGAAGCACAATGGGGGCTTTGTATCTCTTGTTTGGGAGAAGCATAAATTCCCACATGATTGTTTGAGCAATACTGTAGTAGCAGTGCATAAATTGAATTGAGTTTAAGTGAAAAGCCTGTAATCCCCAAAAAATTAAATTTAAAAAAAAAAATCACATTCCTCTTGTAAATGTGATCGTTCCAGGTTCGTGCGCATGAACATCCACACCAACAATCAGGTGGGAAGGATCTACAATGTCATTGGAAAGATAAGAGGAGCGCTTGAGCCAGGTACAAAGACATGAATCCTGCGATACTGCGCTATGGATTATTGTTGAAATAGCTTTATGGTGATTTGTACACATAAAAAAAATGTGCTCACATGGGGAGAACTTGCAAACTTCACATCGGAAAGCATGAGCCAAGATTGTAACTCTTGAGTGTGAGCCAGTTTTCATAATCACAATCTCATTGAGTTCTTCTAAGCATAACACTGGGGAACAGTTTGGAAAAAAATCTGTTTAGTTAGATTTAAAAAAAAACAAAACATTTTTTGGAAAACTCTTCTCATCGCTTAAAATTTTAAAAAGCCAACTTTATCATAATCAAAGCTAACCGCAGCATGTTATAGGAGTAATTTCTGTTGGACTAGACAGGTATGTCATTCTGGGTGGACACCGAGACGCCTGGGTTTTTGGAGGGATTGATCCCATGTCAGGAGCTGCTTTGGTCCATGAAACTGTCCGAAGCGCTGGGAGGCTTCTAAGTAAGGGTAAGTACAGCTACCTTTGACAGGGAGCATCAAGCATTGTGCCAGTAATCAATCACTATGAAAGTGTGTGTATCCACTATCCGTGTGCAGGCTGGAGGCCGAGAAGAACAATAATATTTGCCAGCTGGGATGCAGAGGAATTTGGACTGCTGGGCTCGACAGAATGGGCAGAGGTAGAATATATTAGCAGTCATACATTACAGTTATATATGATACAGTCCAAATGTGTACTCTACATGTTGTACAGAGTAGACCAGTGGACAATATGATATCATTCCTGGTGCAAGTTTAGCAAAAAGCGCAGTGTAATTGGTACATGGGTGTAGTTTTTTTTTCTTTTGTTACCGTATTTTGCTACTTTGCACAGGGAGAATTAGGCCTAACGTTGCATATGACTCCATATTCATCAACAGGACAATGCCAAACTGCTTCAGGAGAGAGCGGTGGCCTACATCAATGCAGACTCTGGCATAGAGGGTGAGTGCAAATAATTTTCCCGGTGTATGTACTGGCTTCTGCTTTTAAGGTGACTTGTGCGTTTGTCTTTTCAAGGTATGTACACACTCAGGGTTGACTGTACGCCATCTCTACACACACTAGTGTACGACCTCACTAAGCAGGTAAATGTAAACAAAAATGCAACTGTTTTTGGTGGCGAGATGGGTTAAGGTCTCTCTCTGTATCTTTGTTTGTGTACAGATAGCCAGTCCAGAGATAGAAGAGGAAGGAATTTCCCTGTATGAAAGTTGGCATAAGAAAGACAACTGGACAAATGAGCGTGATGCGCCCAGGCAGGTTACGAAAGCCTCACAATACAATGACAAGGGAAAGACTAGAATTTGCTTATTCATGTTTATCCACGTCACCTTTGGCATTGCACTCATCAATCAAAACAATTGAGGGTATCGATCCATTGGCCCACTCTCTTGTGTTGTGTAGGATCAGCAAGCTGGGCTCGGGAAGTGATTTCGAAGCCTATTTTGTCCGTCTGGGAATTGCAGCGGGCAGAGCAAGATACACCAAGAACAGGGTAAAAAAAATTGTCTTTACTACGGTATAGTTTGTCCATTTGGGAGTCATTTTGATACAAACTAGACACTGATATTTAACAGAAAAGTGAAAATACTGCATTTGTATCCACGGCCCAGCCACATTACAATTTACATAGTAAAATATTAAATGCAAGAGCTTAATTTGAAAAAAAAGGCACTTTTACAAAGATAGTAATGACAATGGCCCTCATTTATTAATAAATACATGTTCGTACTCTGCGCACAAGTTGAGCAAATACGCAAAATCATCGTCGGCTTCACGACACATGCGTATCGGCTCATTTTCTTCGTGCGTGTATTGAATCATAATTAATTATATCAGAATTCATCCTAAATTATGGATCCATCAAATGAGGACAGGTGGTAGAGAAAATGGATGGATGGATACTAATTATTAGACGAAGGTCATGGATATAATACGTGTCCTCTGTGTGTGTGCGTGTGTGGGTGTGTGTAGAAAATCGAGCGATACAGCAGTTACCCCGTCTATCACACGGTGTATGAAACCTTCGAGGTTGTGGAGAAGTTTTACGACCCTTCGTTCACGAGGCTTCGGGCTGTGGCTCAAGTAAGAGGCGGGCTCGTCTTCCTCCTAGCAGATTCCCAGATCATCCCTCTGGATGCCAACCAGTATGCCATCTCCCTCAACACGTACGCACGCAGCATTGCAGCGATCGCACAAACACACCGGGAGGAGATGCGGTCGTACGAGGTGTCATTTGGTAAGTCGGGAACAGTACGTTAGTCAAAATCATAATTTTAACGACGGGCTATTCAGATTTTGTTTGCTATTTTGCAGACTCCTTGTTTTCAGCTGTTGAAAATTTCACCGTTGCAGCGAGGGAGTTTCACGAGCGCCTAGAAAACGTCAACAGAGCAGAGTAAGAAGACATTTTGCATAAGTCGTAACAGACTAAAATGTCAGCCTCCGCAAACCAAAAAAACAATTTTCATCGGCATTGACGTGCCTGTTTTCACATATGTCAGCCCTCTGCAGGTACGTGCAATAAACGACCAGCTCATGTATCTGGAGAGGGCCTTTATAGACCCCTTGGGCTTACCCGGAAGACCATTCTACAGGTATTACACACAAACCGAACCCTCTTCAGTTTAGTTATATAATCGATAAACCAGGTAGCCATTTGAGGTTTTGGTATCAAACCACAAAATAAACGCCAGCGAAAACTACAGTGTGGCTTGACTACCCCACATTAACTGATAGGTTGCCAAATGAGCATATTGCAAAACGGATTCTCTGACAGAGATTGATTTTGTGCCTTCATTCTCATTAACTGTAACATGCCGTTTATGTATGTTCATATATTCACAAGAGTCACATCTGTTTTCCAGGCATGTGGTATTTGCTCCAAGCAGCCATAATAAATATGCAGGGGAGTCTTTCCCGGGCATCTACGATGCATTGTTCGACATTGAGCACTCGGCGGACCAAGAGAAGGCCTGGAATGAAGTTAAACGACAAATCAGCATAGCAGCATTCACTGTGCATGCTGCTGCCATGACGCTTAAACCGCCTGCATGATTTGAATGAACATTGTATCTTTGTTCATCTATGCCGGCAACTTATAGCGACATAAACAAAATTAAATGATCTATTACACACCAGGAAGTGTATAATATACCTACATCCAGTATTTTTGACATTTGTTTGGTGGTGTACCTCCAGTTATTGAACTTTGTAAAATATGTGCCTCGGCGCAAGGGTTGGCAAAAATCATTGGAGTAGATGATGAATTGAGAATTTAGTAAATTTATGCCACCTGTGTAGGTATGGCAACTGGTTTATTAAATGATGGGTGTATTTATGTGAAAGCCTTCAGAATAATTTGTCGTATTTCTAAAGGGTGCAGCTTTCAGGTGATATGGACGTGGCAAGATTTGAAGGCCTCTCTGATGGAGCATTTTCTAAACGAAAAGACTTTTTTATAAGTAAAATCTTAAAATTGCGTAAAATGAAGTTTTAACTGAACTGTCATGTTGAATTGCTGAAAAACTCACACCATCCTCCTCTTCATCTGCAGGGTAATAAAAAAAAAAGATTAGAAGGTGTAAAAAATATCAGCACAATTTGAAGAGACTTAAAAACAACCCAACACCTCGGGTCAACTTTCCTGGCTAGATATCGTTAGCGTGGCAAAGAACTGCTGTTGTTAAAGCCAACTTACCCCAATAATTAAATCATAAATTACTCGCTCAAAGTAAAAACACGACTGCTCGCTGACTATATACACTGACGTGAATTCAACGGTCTATTCAACGTGTACGGCGTTTTAAATCAGGCAGATAAAGTTAAACCAGCGAATCATTTATCGCTGAAGGACGTTTCTCAAAATAAATGACTCTGATTGGATAAACGTCCGGAAGTTTAATTATCGTAGCGCTTGTTTTAGGAACTAGGACAGCCAGTGGTGAGAAAGCAAGGCGAAGAATTTCTGGGGACTTGATATTAAACTTAAACCATCTGTCCACCAGTGTATCCTCACAAGGAACCAACAACATATCTCTACTTAACCTATCGATACATTCCGATGAGTATTTTTGTGAAGCGGAACAATAATGGACAAGATATACTGTGCAAAAATCAGTGAATGCAATTCACATGTGTTTTGCACCACAGTTCGTGGAGGACTTAAGTCTTAAACGGATAATGTGTGACTGTGTACATATTACCATGGAAACGCATTGTTGACTGCAGCAGGTAAAGATCGCACTAATTTGACATTTCTGTATTGTCACGATAATAAGCGAACAAATCGCGTTGGTTAATTGATTTATTTTTTTACATATACGACACATTGTGTGTAAAAGCGTGTGTAAAACAACTGCATTCCTCGTAAATAGCAGTTGAGCATCGCTTTCCTCAGGGTAAAATGGTACGACTGGTACGTGCCTTCATCATCTTGTGGCTCTTTTATCACAGATGTTAGAAGATGATGTATGGAGCTCCAGTGGATTTATCTTTTAAAGCCATCAGCAACTTGGCAGGTAGGACATTCAATTGTGCTATTTATTTTACTCATGCTCTTTCAAGCTTTTCAGGACATTCCTCCCGAGTACACTACCGAGTTTACTTTTCTGTTTCTTTGAGAGCTGTACATTGCAGTGTGACTTTTTTTTTCACTAAGTTGCCACTATTTCATCTAAATTGCTATTTAAGAATAAGAACATCTATAATATTGTACTGTAGACTTAATGGAGCGAAATTGTGTGTTATGTTTGCATGTCCAAATTACCACCCAAATCTCCAAAAGTTACTCTATGTGCCAATGCTACTTTTTCTCAATAAGATCCTTTTATATTTTGATGAATTTTAAATGACTGATTACAAAAAATAAACTTTCAGCAATGCCTGAAGTTCATTATTCATTTTTATTCAGATACGGGGTCAGAAGAACCAAGCAGAGGTCTGCGACCTTTAAAGAGAAACTCAGTAGGAAAGTTCCAAAGTGGCTCTCTCCGTCTGAATAACAATCATATTAGAAACCTCTATGACCTTAACAAGACAATCAGCCACTTCATGGCTGAACCGTCACTGCTCGCCTGGCTGGACCTTTCGTTCAACCGCATCACAAATATAGACAAAGTGAGCTCTTTCTATTTTTTTGTACATTCACACAAACGTTTTGGAGGTTCTTGGAGCATATGATAAGTGATCTTATATGTGTGTTCCAGGTTTTGTGTGAACTACCCCAACTGCGGGTTTTGTATCTTCATGGCAACCGTATTTTTTCTCTATCAGAGGTAGACAAGCTACGGAGTCTCTCTCATCTACACACCATCACCTTACATGGAAACGTCATTGAAACAAACAAGGCCTACAGGTTAAAAATACATCACTAAGTCCATATTCCTTTTCCTCTTCGTGGCTTAACTTAAGACCAATTAGAACACAATTTATTTTCTCATAACTACTTGTATTTTTTTTTCTTTTTTTGTAAAGGAGTCATGTGATATCTACTCTGCGTGGATTAAAGACGATGGATTTCAGTGTTGTGACCCCTCAGGAGCGAGCCTTGGCACAGATATGGCACCACAGGACCAGCCCTGGCAAACGAAATAAGGAAACTCTTAAGTGACTGTGTTTGAAGCCGCAGCTATTTAACTGTTTCACAAGATCTTTATTGAAAGGCATACAATATAAGGAAAGATTTGTCTAAAAATTATTCTCATAAATACATCTGTGATTTTCACGTTTTTCATTTCATATTATTGAAATTAATGGTGGTACTAGTTTTGAATTAATGAACACTGAAAATTCCAATTCAACACATTTTACACACCATCCCCTGCACTAGGAATAGCAAACCTAAATGTAAAGAACATCCATGGAATAAAGCATAAAATGCACAACCAATATTGGCAAACATGCACCCTTGCGTCAAGTTTCGAAATGCAAATCAAGCTTGTATTAGACCCCGATGTGCAAAGCGATGCCACTTGAGACAAAAAGGCTGCTGATTCGAAATCTCCAATATTTTTTATTTCTTGAACGTATGTTGTTGTTCTGTTTTTTTGCGTCGACATTTTTTTAGTTCAGGTATCACGTGATGTCTGCGCTGGATGTCAGGAGTGAGCTTTGGCACTGGTCTGACCACACAGGAGCAAAAGAAATACTTCTCCAGTGTAGTGACTGTGTTCCAATTCCTAACTGTTTTCCAAGACCGTTATTTAAAAAGTGTGTGCTTGTCATTTAAAAATACATAAGGTCCATTTTAAATTTGTCATACATTAATAACACATGTAGAAAAATGTCAAACACAATAGCTGTTGAAAGTTTTTAATGACTTGATAAACAAACTTTTTTGGTACTAGCCTAAGATATTACAAATATATTTCAGGTAGTATTACATATCATTGAAACAAAACAAAAGCTGAATCAAAAAAAAAAAAATACCAGGAACCCATTGCAATAAGCTCAAATGTGCGGCTAGAATAATCACAGCCTTGCACAAGATCCCTTTAGAGCATCTCACTGTTCGGACTTCCTCGACAAGACCCCCATGGACTCTGAAGAGCAGTATGTTTAAAAACACAAAATAAATAATCTCACAAAGTTCTTGGATGCTTCGATCTGTTGTGGTACATTGGATTGTTTACACTCTCAGCACAACGCTACAATGGTTAGTTTTCAATTAATACAAACAAATCACTCATATTACAATCTGCAGCAAAAAGCTTTGCTTGAAAGCGAACAAACAGCCCTCAAAGTGTTGTTGGTTTTCATAAAAACGGTTGTCATGATCGGAGATCACAGCCAATTGTGAACTTTCCACAAAAACACCTTCTACAATCATCTTCAGCTTTAGAATTAGCCAGAAAATTCTGTACAAAGGCAAAAAAATAATACACATCTGTTCTGAAAGCCCACATCCCAACTCCCCCTCCTGTCCCACCCCCCCAAACTGCAGGCCTCCAGTGCTGTACAGGTTTTATGGGATTCGCATCCATATCAAACTTCAGGGTAGTGAAGCCTATTGTATCTTCGCCAGTGGGAACAGACAAAATAATGGCCAGTCATTTAGCCTCACAAAAATTCATGTGTTGAGTCATGTGCCCTGAAGACGAAATGATGAGCAATAACAGTTTTTCCTATTCGGTTCAAAGCAATTATCATCTAATTCTTCAGATGGACATCCAAAATGCATCATTGTAAACAAAAATGAAATGAGTTACAACTAAGAACAGCTATCAGGATCAATAATAGGACTTGAACATTTTAGTTTGACTTCAGCTCTGCTTCAGGGGGAAGCCAATTTTGAAGATGCGAGGTGACAGAATAACTCCTCACTGACCTACGATTTGGTACAGTGTGATGAGATTGCGTTTGTGGAGCGTTTGTGTCGGTGTCTACGTTGCATTTAGAGGCAGAGACAAGAAGCACAAGACAACTGCATAAATGGGTGTAGTGAAGGGTCTGGTTGCAGGCGTGACGGGGACAGACTCGAATGATGGGAGGAGCGATACGCAACCCAGAGTTGTCAGATCAAGGAATGACAAACTGGACCACTAGTTCTTCTTTAGCATCTACTTTGATTTGAGAGATTGCACTGAAGGCATATGCCGCTATCTTGGATACCTGAAAGGAAAAAGCAGAGAAGAACGGCATTACTCAAATTCATATTCAATCCGGTGCAGCATTTTCAAAGCATGACACATCCCAGTGACAACTTAATAGATGTCAAAATGTGTTGTGTGTGACTACCTGCTGAACATCCGAGTATGGCACCAGGTCACTGGCGAGCACTTGGTGGGGCTGGCTAGTGAGGGAGGGGAGAGCCAGGCCTTTCGTCTGGGGCATACTGCTGCTCAAAACGGTAAGCTTTGTGCTGGGGAGGCGAAACAAACAAATGTGTTTCATACGCATTTTGTGACGGGTGCGGGCAATATTTTGGTTGACTCAATTGGCTCTTCTCAGTGACTGAGGATGTGCACGAGTTGAAAGTATTGTTTCTAGTTCGCTCTTTTATTTTGGCATTCTTCACTTTTTCATCTGCCATCATGCAGGGTTAGGACCCAAAGCATTTGATAGGGAGGTTCCTGTAAAAATGCCATAAAAGTGGTTTTAACAAACTATGGAAGAGTTTGTCTTCACTCAGCCCAGCCAAATAGAACTTGTCTGTTGAGGAATTTCCATATTGTCAAGTCAGTCTTCAACGTGTGAATTAAGCAGTAATTGAATTCCAAACAGGACAACCTTAAAAAAAAAGTTTGAAGTATACCTGTATTGCCGAGCTTTGTCCATATACTCATGTTGTTCCATCATGACGGAGTCAGCTGCCGACACATCAATGATGTTCCTGCACAACAAACGAGAATGTTTATTGACTTGATTGCCTATTGGACTGAGTCAGCTGTTGGGTGGATCACAATCTTACTGTGCCGTTTTGGTGAGGATGGATGTGAGCAGGGCCTGTTCGTCTGTTCGGGCTGAGGGTACTGTTGGTGTGATCCAGTCCGTGCCATTTGGGGGTTTGCTGACAGGGTTCGGGTGGGTGATCAGCGGCTTGCGTTCGTTATCCTATTGGTCGGGATGTCAAACGTTAAGTATTCAATGGGATTTTATGTTACCCAAATGCTCAAACTGTTTTAGTGAATACATAATAATAAGACAAAGTTGACGTTTTTTAGCTGTCTGGTATTATTTCAGTGCATTTTACTTAGGACCAAAAAAAGGCAACTAAAACATTAAACTCGTTCTTAAAACTGACTGAAATTTAAAATCAAAAAGTTAAAGAAGTAAAAACTGACGACTGAAAAATCCCAAACTATAATAAGATTGGTAGACGGCGTGAGTACTTTTGCCACCTCTGGTTGCAAACTCGACTAGTTGAAGCTGAAAAAAGGCATCTATGATACAGTTGAAAGTACAACGTAGCAGCCTGCATGTTTCCTCAAACGGAATTTGAGGAAGACCTTGAGTCACACGGCACAACACAAATTGGGAACTTCGAATTATCTTGTGATCTTTGTTAGACAGCAGCCACGCCAATAAAGGTTCGTTCTTGCTTACACGTCATAGCAACGTGGTCACTGGGAGTAACTTCCCTTTAATATTGATTAACATACATGGACAAGCAACTCGTTACATCTTTAGCTACTTTCAGCAGTTCTCATTTCCGCCGTGTGCAATCAACAAACACTTGGCCTGAGCTAAGCCGTCGCTGAGCGTGCTAAATGTCTTTTCAAAGTGAAACTGCGGAATAAACTCTTTTAGTAAACAAGCATTCCATTAAATCACCTGTCCTTAGCCTGACAACCGTTTAGGGTCGAGTCGTGCACGCACAATCGCAGAACAACATCTATGGAGCTAGTTTTAGCAAGCTGAACGGCTAACTACCTGGTCTGCTGACTCGTTGTCGCTGCTGTAACAACAGCCCATGGCAGCGTCCGGTACCCTCCGGCTTCCCTGTTTTCCCGCAGAAAGCAGCCGTGATTGTCCGCGCCAACAATCATACAATTCGGCTTGGTGGTTATTTGCACTTCATCAAAAGGAGTTCGAGACTTCGCCAGCTACTGTAGGGGTGGGCACAGGAAAGGAGCCATCCCATGACAGACGGGAATTAATGTGACTGGCAAGATTGTCATTGTCAGATACGGGAAGATATTCCGAGGCCATAAGGTAAGAAAAACTTTCCACCTTTAACTCCTAAACAGGCTATTGTGCAGGTCAGATTTCAAATTTCTCACTTAAAAATGTGAAGAAATACATTTTTTATGGGTGTTCGCAATTTTCAAGAAACAGGCCAGCCCCCTCAAAACAGGCCGAGTTGTGAAAGGCTTAAAATGCTCTTTGCGGTGTTTGGCAGTTATTATTGATGCTTTTGTGGTTGTGACAAAAGCATTTCACAGACATACTATCAAGATAAGTTAAACCTTTTAAATTGTAGGGGGGAAAAAATTCCGCTTAAATACATGACTTAATGCTGTGGATTTGCTATCTGTTTTGCCTCCATCAGGTGAAGAATGCTATGTTGGTCGGTGCAAAGGGACTCATTTTGTTCTCTGATCCAGCTGATTACAGTGCCGATGGTGTCAAAGTAATTTGCATGAGTCAAAACAGGACTGATTTCCCAATGCCTGAACAACTACTTCCATATGAACATTTTGAGAGGAATATGAAAGAGCCCGAAAAGGGTATGTAAAATATACTTATTATTTGTGGATAAGTTTTTGGGTCTCATGAGTGTCTTGGCTTGGAGATGAAGTCATGCCTCCATTAGTGAAAACACACTTTAAACTTTGTGTTTATGGTTGATGTCTTTTTTTTTTCTTCGCACTCAAGGCTGCTGGAGAATATTTAGTCACCAATGCAGCTTTCAGGTAATGTGAACATCGGTAAGGTTTTCAATGGAATTATTTGAAGGCCTCTCTGATGTTGCATTTTCGAAACGAAAAGACCTTTTTATTTAGTATTTGTTGGAAACTAATGCTCAATGTTCAGACGGCACAATTTGTCATTCCAAAATATTTTATTGTACAAGTAATAAGAAAATACAGTAAAATCATTCAAATAAGCGAAAAGTAAAATCTTAAAAGTGCGTAAAATGAAGTTTTAACTGAACAATCATGTTGGATTGCTGAAAAACTCACACCATCCTCCTCTTCATCTGCAGGGTAATAAAAAAAAAAGATTAGAAGGTGTAAAAAATATCAGCACAATTTGAAGAGACTTAAAAACAGCACTGCCATGTCTGAAGTGTTGACACCCAATAACTTGATCACCAGAATATGTGAAGACACCCTCACAGTGTCAGTGTTTGTCATTAAGTGTGAGCTAACCACAAGCAAGTATAAACAAAAAGCAACATGCAAATCATTTTCATTGAACATACACCTTGTCATTCTTCCAGGAAGATTTTCATGATTGAAGGAGACGCAATTCTGAAAACAAGGTTAAGGTTTCACCGTGACCAAACACGTTCATTTTTAGGGTGGAAATAATGACAAACTTTCAAAGCGACAGTTAATGAGATTAATGGAAAGCTTGATGAAAGTTGGTTTCCATTTCAGGTAACCAATTTTCAAGAGGGAATACTAAAAACACTATGATGGGATTCAAAAGTAAATGCTGGGTCAGATTAAATAACAGAGTACGCAAGCCCTTTATTTGCCCACCTTTTCATTCAAGACCATGTCCTTACCTTGCGAGCGCTTGCCGTCAACCGTGGAGACTTGGAAGTCGTTTTAGGTGACTTTCTGTTTTCTTTGCAGATCACCTGGGGTGACTTGGAGCTCCCACCCCTGCCCGCTCGCCCCGCTGCCGCGAGGGAAACTGCAGCGTGCTTATTTTCTTTTTGCATGGCATTCTTGGAGGTGTTGCTTGGCGACTTTCGGGTAGAGCTACGGAGTTTGTTGAGGCCTCTTTTCAGGTAGTTGTTGCTGCTTTTGTTCGGGGTGTTGTCGATGGTGAACATCATAGACTGCCGGCGATTAACCTGAGAAGATGAAGGAGAAGTCTGATTAGCTCATTTCCAATTGAAGCTGTTATTTTTATTTTTTTTCAGTTCAATTTTCAACAGACTGTTTCACAAATTGAGTAGTAGTTAATAAGGTCATTCCTGCTCAAGAAATTTCCCATAATTGTCATATCATAAAGGTTTCATTTATTACAGTTTTGTATTGCGATAGTGTTGGGCAATGGCCTTTATAATTTTCCAATTTATACTCATGCCGAAACAAAAATGAGACTGATGTTACTCACCAGTTCTTTAGTATGTCATATTTTCACTTAATACTTATACAAACTCACGTATTTGGAGTAGGTTTTACATTGGCTATATTGTGAAGTAACGGTACAAGTAAAATTTTTGGCCATTGTAGCCAACCTCCACGATACGAACAAATCATTGAACAGTGTTCCCTCACTTTTCACCGGTGACTCACAGGGTACATCCGAAGAGACGAACATTCACATGTCACTGAGTGAAAAACCATGTAGCTCGGATGGAAGTCAGGATAGTAAAACTTTTCACCATAGTGACCCATGAATCAATATTACGCCACAGAAGCCCTTCGTCAAACTCACTGGACTGAGGACAGGGTCAAGTTGTGAGTTGGAGGGTCCACTGTTGATATTCTTGTTTTTGGGAGTGAGAGGGCGGGGGAAGCAGCTGGCCTTCAATTTTTTCTGGCAAATAAAAATGTCAAGTGATTGACCAGGTTTAAAAGTTGCGATCCAAACAATTTTTAAATTTGACAATATGGCTAAAAGACTAACCTCAGGTGACATTTGAGGAACACATAAAGTCGAGGCAGCACGCTTTGTGAATCTTGGGCTTTTCAGTTGAGAGGAGCTGACCGACTTAGATGTTGGGTGGTCCGCCATCAAAGACAGACGGTGAGAACGGATGCCGGCTGCGGTACTTGACTGCAGTGCCGCGAGGGAGTGGCGATGGGAAGCCAGAGAGTCCTGCAGCTGGCCTGGCATGACGGACGCTCGTCGAATGGTCTCCGTTGGGTCACCTGTACGTACATCTTCGTCGGTGAAAGGGAGCACGCTCTTGCAGCCAGCCTAAAGTGAGACAAGGGGTTGAATTGATGCCATGGACTGACATTGCGACCTATGTAAAGAATATATTTAAAGTTATGCTACAATTTTGACGGTGTGCCACGTACACACGCGTGTGTCATTGGTACAAGCAGCTTCTCCTGTCACGTTTACCTCCGATTGGCACTTTGAACATGTAAGCATGTGCAATTATGGTAACATGGACTGAAGGGTGTGACGACAGGTTGACAGGGGTCTTATTGTTAGAACAGATGAGAATGAATCTACCAACCTCAAACTCTGCAGGATAGCTGCTCTTGAGATGAGGAAGGCAAGCTTTGTTCCTGGCCTGCAGCTCAGCAATCCTCATCCAGTCGTCAGGCGCACCTTCTGGCTCGTTCTCTGCCCCGACGCCAAACGTACTTGCGGCTGAACGCATCAGCCAACAGAAAATTAAGCGTATAATTATTTTGAGACTTATCTGAAGGCGAGATGCCATTAAAAAAAAAAAAAAAAAAAAACAGGCGGTAAATGATAGTTTGATTTATTTTTGATACATCGCTGTGGTGCGACGAGGTTCAAACTTACTCTGAGAATGTAGCGTGCTCCGCCGATACCCAGGAAGACTGCTGAACTGGTCATTGGCAGTGGCGGTCATTCTAGCGGGTGTGTCAAAAACCTCCATGGACACAGGGCGTGAGCCATGGGCACTGGAGAGGTTGGGCTGGGAGTAAGCTGAAGCCAGGCTGTAAAACGTTTCTTCACCTTCAACGCCGCCTGGAGTTTTCTGAAGAGGAGTCAATTAAGAGTTTGCCCACAATGCTTAAAGAACAAAGTTTGATTACTTTGTAAGAACAATTTAACTGACGCTGGATGGCCACCTTACCTTGCGAGCGCTTGCCGTCAACCGTGGAGACTTGGCAACAGTTTGAGGGGACTTCTTGTTTTCCCTCGAGACCATTTGGGGTGACTTGAAGCTCCCACCCCTGGCCGCTCGACGCGCCACAGTACGGGAAGTGGCAGCCTGCTTGTTTTCTTTTTGCATAGCATTCACGGGAGACCTCTTGGAGGTTTTGCCTGGTGACTTTCGGCTGGAGCTCCGGAGTTTGTTCAGGCCTCTTTTCAGGTAATTGCTGCTGCCGTTCTTAGGGGTGTTGTCAACAGTGAACATCAAAGACTGCCTGCGATCAACCTGAGAAGATGAATGAGAAGTCTGATACAGTGTACACTATATATTTGCACAACACACACACACACACACACACACACACACACACACACACACACACACACACACACACACACTTCCAAACTCTTGTTACACTTAATAAATGTAACTTTAAAATGTTGAATAAATACAGACCTGACGATATGGCTAACAGACTAACCTCAGGTGACGTTTGAGGAACACATAACGTCGAGGCAGCCTGCTTTGTGAATCTCGGGCTTTTCATTTGAGAGGAGCCGACCGATTTAGACGTTGGGTGGTCGGTCATCAAAGACAGACGGTGTGAACGGACGCCGGCTGTGGTACTTGACTGCACTGCTGCGAGTGAGTGGCGATGGGAAGCCAGAGAGTCCTGCAGCTGGCCTGGCACGACGGACGCTCGTCGAATTGTCTCCGTTGGGTCACCTGTACGTACATCTTCATCGGTGAAAGGGAGCACGCTCTTACAGCCAGCCTGAAGTGAAACAAGGGGTTGAATTGGTGAAATGAGCCGACACTGCAACTACGGCAAAAAAAAAATATTTAAAATTAATGAATTTAAATGTAAATGGATTTACAGGAGTAGTATTTATTATTAGGTTTCTCCATTAAAGACGAAGCTTGGTCACTCAGCGGGGTTTCGGAGTGTGCGCTTCATTGGTTCAAGCGGCTTGTATTGTCATGCTATGTCTACTTCTGATTGGCACTTTTAAAATGTAAAGCAAGTGCAGTTATGGTCACAGATGTACTGAAGGTCATGGCAATAGGAAGACTGTGACAATAGGGGTCTTAGTGTTACAACATAGAACCATGAATCTACCAACCTCAAACTCCGCAGGATAGCTGCTCTTGAGATGAGGAAGGCAAGCTTTGTTCCTGGCCTGCAGCTCAGCAATCCTCATCCAGTCGTCAGGCGCACCTTCTGGCTCGTTCTCTGCCCCAACGCCAAACGTACTTGCAGCTGAACACATTAGCCAACAGAAAATTGAGTGTATAATTGTTTTGAGCCTCATCTAAAGGTGAGATGCCATTAAAAAAAAAAAAAAAATAGGCGGTAAATGATAGTTTGAGTGTTTTTTGATGCATCACTGTGGTGCAAGACTAGGTTCAATCTTACTCTGAGAATGGAGCGTGCTCCGCCGATACCCAGGAAGACCGCTGAGCTGGTCGCTGGCAGTGGCGGTCATTCTAGCAGGTGTGTCAAAAACCTCCATGGACACAGGGCGTGAGCCATGGGCACTGGAGAGGTTGGGCTGGGAGTAAGCTGAAGCCAGGCTGTAAAACGTTTCTTCACCTTCAACGCCGCCTGGAGTTTTCTGACGAGGAGTCCAATAAGAGTTTACCCACGATGCTTAAAGAACAAAGTTTGATTACTTTGTAAGAACACGTTCACTTGACACTGGATGACCACTGGACAGTGATGATAGCTGAACCAGGACACCAGCAGCCTACCGATCATTTATTTGACAACATGGGGTATCTTCTGTTCATTGAGTTCCATTCTGACAATATAACCAATTTGTATGCAAGCAAAACACCCCATAACCGGACTAACCTAAACTACTGCAGTGGTAAATACATTATTCCAGTAAATTTAGGATTTGTGCAAATAACATTGCGTGACCATTATTTAAAACCAACTGACTGTAACCGGCCGAAAATTTGCAAAGGTTGGTGAAGGCAACAAAATGCACGTTCGCATCAGAGTTCATTGAAGGTTGTAAATGTTCGCTAGTAGTTTGTCGTGTTTCTTGTTGCAAGGGAATTTTGTACATGTTCAAAAATCCTTTGAGAGAAGAAATAATAGAGGTGAGCGTCTGGCAACTGTTTGCGACCTTGAACAAACCTTGACAAGAACGCAACATTCACTACCTTTGCAAACACTCAAATATTCGCAGCTCGGTGGGCTAAGTTTAACCAACTTATGCCCTTATCCGTCACAAACAGAGGACCCCTTGATTGGCGTGAAACATTTTTAGAAATGCAGTTTGTTTGAATATTAAAGTTGAGAAGCATGTCAACAAGTTTCCATTACCTTTGTCATGGTTATGTTGATAACCTGCGTTGTCCTCCGTCTCTTGACAGACGACAATGGATTTGTATAGCCCAAGTCCACTTCTGTTTTGCTTTCCGCAGTGGTTCTAGATTAAGAAAATGTATATACCATACTTTATTTTGATGTTGGAAGGGTCTTTTTTTTGTAGTCATTAATGTAAGAGAAGAAAACATTTATTTGTCTCACAATGGGGAAATTCGCAATTTACAGCAGCAAAATTTTGAAGGGAGAAAAGTAGGAAAAAAAAAAGTATTTGCATGCATATACTTCACCATATAATTGCACCACAATTACAAATGTACACCAAGTTAAAACTCAAATTCTGTAAAGTACTCATAACTCTGCCATTTACCTGTTGTTGTGCCGAGTATTTATTGGTGTGAAGTAAAGAGTTTCGAGTGACTCAGCCTTCAGACCACGTCGTTTGGCTGCCAGTCTCTCAGAACTACGAACAAGCGGCGTACTCGATTCATCAGGTGCCGAAATTGTCCTGCAGAATTGGGGGACAAATGATGACGTTAATTAAATTTAGGTTAAAATAATTGCTGTCATTGATTATTTTATCACAGTTTTTCCTTAGATTAATTTCTGTTCACTTGATACTTGTACACTTAACACGAAATGAAACCTTGTGTTGTTCAGCAGGTCTTCAAGGGAGCTTTGGTCCAGACTGTCCGAGCTCATAATTCTCTTGGGTTCCACTTTGGTGTGAACATTTGAGCGTGAGCCCGGAACCTCCAAGTAAAATGACTCCGACATTTCTCCTTGGTGACCAGGGATTTGGTTGTGTGTACACAGATTTAGGTCAGCAAAGGCCACCTTAATATAAGCAGAAGTGAAAAAAGGATAACTTAGAACATATGTAACTTTATTTAGACTGCATTCAGAAGAGATGAATATGCAATTTTGCCCCACAAATTATTGTGAATGCAGATAAATTATGTCGAGCATATTATTCAATTATTGTGCCCTCCAATTGCCATCTTCTGGCATGGAATTTACATTATTTGTACTTTAGTTAGAAATGGGAGGTGGGGGGGAACATGATGATTCTCACACTGCATCCAGCGTTGAGCACCGGTCATGCCAGAAGCTAGCTCGAGCTGTCGGGTTACTTCTCAAAGGCAGTGTGACATAAATGACTGCAAATTTTGATATGAACAGCCTGACACAGTTACTGTTCCGAGTGATAACTTTTGCTGGCAGATTTCAGAGTCAGCAAAATGACCAATCTCGAAATAAGTGCAAATGCGTTGAGGTTTTCAGGATTGGGGGGCGATTCTTGGCATTACGATAAAGACTCAGAGAGAGCAAGAGAGAGAGAGAAAGAGAGAGACACCCGCATGATGAGCAGGTTCAGTATTTAAAGAACGGGGCGGTCTTGAGCTTTTGGCTCAAGGCGGTCACCTTCATCTTGCTCACATCTGGCTGAGATGCAGACAGCTGCAGTTCCTCCATCAGATGAGCAGACAATTGCTGGGTTCCGAGTATCTGCTGCCCTTTATCTGTCCGTTGGAGAGACATGACTTCCAATTGTCTTTTAAGGTCCACTAGCTCGAGTTTAAGTGCATGTGTCGTTTTGGCAGCCTCTTCCTGGATCTCAGCAAGCATCTTGGCATTGTCCTGAGCCTCCTGCTTCGCCTTTTGAACCAACTTTGCTTGGATGGCAAGCTCAGCATTAAGGGTGTTGAGGCTGTGGTCTTTCTCAGCTGTTTGGATTTTGACAGCAGCCAACTCAGACTTGAGCAGGTCAAGTTCCTCTTCAGTCTTAATGAGGAGTTTCTGCTTCTCATCGTGACATTCTCTGAGCTTCAGAATTTCTGTTTCAAAGGAGGAAAGCTGTTTCTGTTGGATCTCCTCTTTTTGGCTCATCTCCTGAAGCTTCATGTCTTTTTCCATCTGCTGCTGAGTCAACAAATCATTTTTAATATGAATATCTTCTTCAGCTTCTCTCAGAGACTCTACTTGTTTCTTTAAATGTTGGATCTCTTGACCAAGCAAGTCAGACTGCTTAGAGTGGTTGGCATTCAGTTGCATGATACGTTCGTCTCTAACTTGGATCTCCACAGTCACCTTCCTCATCTCTGCCTCCGATGCAGACAGTTGATGGTTTAGAAGCTTTTTCTGGTGAACACATTCTTGCTCTTGTGCTGTCATCGTAGCCGACTGGGCCTGAACCGTCTGCTTGGCTTCGGAGAGCAAATTATTCACCGCTGCCAACTGGTCTTTTAGCTGGCTGATTTCTTTATGTAGCATATCTGTCTGTAAAGAGCTCTCTTTCTGCGTGGCAAGCTGTTGCTCTAGAGCCTGTATGCGATCCCTCAGCAGGGTTACTTCTGCAGAAGAGGATTCCATTAGGCTTTGATACTTGTTTCTTTCCGTTGAAATCGCAATTTCCTTGTTTGCCAGGAGATCAACTTTTGTTTTGACTTGTTCCTCTGCAGTTTGAAGTGATTCAGTGACACTTTGTATTTGTCTCTTGAGACTCTGAATTTCATTCTTCAGCGACTCTGACTGCTTGCTGCTCTCTATTCTAAACAAGTCAAACTGGTGGTCTTTGGTTTGAATTTCCTCCTTGAATTGTTTGGCCTCCTGCAAAAGATCCATGTTGTGCTTTTTGAGTGCCTCAATGTGGAAAGTGTTCTCTTTCTCCAGCTTGACAATTAAATCGTCTTTGGCCTTCACTTGGTCCTTTGTAATCCAAAGAGAATGACTCAAACTCTCTAGTTGTTTATCCAGACTATCAATCTTCTGTTCAAGCAGTTCAGACTGTGTGGAGCTCTCATTCATGAGCAGACTGAGCTGTTCCTCCTTGGCATGTAGCTTTGAAATCAGTCTGCTCACCTCTTCTTGAGAAGAAATCATCTGTGTCTGCAGTTTCTCCATTTCCAGAGTACTCTGTGAATGCTGCTTGGCAAACAGACTCTCCTTGGATTTCAGATTCTCCTCAGCGTTCTTCAAAGATGAAGTGAGGCTTTCCACCTGTTCCTCTAAACTGTGGATGTCTTGATGAAGAAGTTGTGACGTCTCTGAAAACTGCTTGTTTAATAAAGCGATATGCTCCTCTTTAGTCTGGATCTCTGCCTTCATGGTCCTTACACTGTCTTCAGAAACCGACAGTTGCTGCAGCAAAATGTCTTTTTGACCAGCACTTTCCCGCTCCTGCTGAGCGAGCAGTTCCTGCAGAGATTGAAGATGGTCTTCAGCCTTTTTCAAAGAGTTATTCAGATAATCAACTTGGCTTTTTAGATGGTTTATCTGTTCTTGAAGGATTTCAGACTCCTTAGAACTGTCCTTGTGCAAAATGACAAGCTGCTCATTTCTGGCCTCGATCTCTGTGCTAAGCCGGGAAGCCTCCACCTCACTGGTTAAAATCTGTTGCTGAAGCACTTCCTTCTGCTTGATATTCTCTTGTTCGGTTCGAGCCAAGAGGTCATGCTTAAGTTGAACTTCTTGTTCAGCGCGTTGAACAGACAAGCTCAGGTTTTCCACTTCAACTGTCAACGTCTGGATTCTATTCTGGAGAACAACTTGCTGATTAGAAGTCTCCAGTCGTAGTTGGGCCAGCAGTTGGTCTTTGGTTTCAATTTCGTCTTTGCTTTTCATAGTTTCAATTGTAAAAACCTTAACTTCTTCTTTGAGAACGTTAATTTGATTATCTTTATCCACCAAAATTGCGGTTAGGTCATGAAACTTGGTTTCAAGATCTTTCACTTTTTCTTTGGCCTGATTAAGGAGGTGTTCCTTCTCTCTAGTAGTTTCTCTCAGGGTGTCCAATTCTTGTTGTAAAGCAGCAATAAGCTTCTGGATCTCACTAATCTCCTGAGCTTTCTGCTGCTCCGCTTGCTCGAGTTGAAATTTAAGCTGATCGATCTCTTTTTGAAGGGCTGCTCTCTGCTGAGAGATTTCCTTTTGCAGCTCTTTCAAAATGCAATCCTTAGCTTGAACAATGTCTTCAATCTGAAGGTTTTGTTGCTCCAGGAGTTCTTTCTGTTTGGCGATTTCTTGCTCATACGCTGAAAGCTGCAGTATTTTGGCCTCCACAGTGGCCTCAGCCTTCTTCAAGCTGCCAAATGTGCTGTCCAGCTTGTTCTTTAGGCGGTCAATTTCACACTCCAGCTCATCTCTCTGGAAATTTAAAAATATACAAAATTACTAAAGCTAATGCTTTAACAATGCATTAAATATGAATCATCTTGTGACTGGTTGTTCCTTGATGTCTCAGTTGCTGTGCCTTTATTATTCATCTCTCCATTTTCTGATCCGCTTATCCTCACTAGGGTCGCTATCCCAGATGTCTTCGGGCAGTAGGCAGGGCACACAGAGACATACAACTATTCATGCTCACTCTCACACCTAGGGACAATTTAGAGTGTTCGATTAACCTGCCAGGCATGTTTTTGGAATGTGGGAGGAAACCGGAGCACCTGGCGAAAACCCACACAGGCACGGGGAGAACATGCAAACTCCGCACAGAAAGGCCGGAGCCGGAATTGAAACCTGCAACTCTGCATTGTGAGGCCGACGTGGTAACCAGTCAACCATCGGGTCGCCATATCCCTTTATTATGTTACCCTTAGTCATGTAGGCTAGGTGTCTTCCAGTATGTAAACTCTGATTACTGAGTGACATGTATGTTGCACTTTCTCCCAGTCAGAGTGCTAGCTCTCTTCCCTGTCTTCTGCATCCAGCCCTGCTTTCTGTAGTTACTTTGTATTTTCGTAGATGGACTTTCGTTACTTTTCACCTTCTGAGTCCAAATTCCTCTCCTCACTTGACAAATAACCCATCATGATACAGTAAATGTATTTACCTCCATTACAGGCCCCATGTTTTCTCCGACATCCTGCTTTGTAGCTACTCTAATTTCATCTTCTAAACATGAAATCTTCCCCTGGAGGATCTGAATTTGTTCGGCCAGGAGCTCCTGTAATGAAACCAAGTATTAAACATTGGAATTGTTGGATTAGTGATTCTCACCTGGATCTTGGGAGCTAAAAGTGGGTCATGGAGTCCATTTTCTTCATGTTCAGTTACCACATCATTTCTCGTTTTTAAAAGAATAGCTTTATATTCAAGTCCTATATGCGTAATCACTTTGACATATTCTGTGCTGTAACACGCCACTGTTCATTTTGGACTTGTTTCCTGGTCTATTGTGTTATAAAAATGCCGTATGGCGTCATCAAGTATTGCCATAATTTAGTTAGCAACCATTATTGTAACTATTGCCTCATTAATATGCATATTAACACAATGTTAATACACCTACAACAACACAATTAATTCAAAGGAAAGATCTAGAATCAAAAATTTATTCAGAATCAAATCCCCAGGCAATGGAAGAGTCGCACCTCAATTGTGTAGAAGACACCCCTACCTTCTGTGCAGTGGCTTGACCGAGTTCAGACTGCAGGTAGTCCATTTTGGCTCTCCACTCCTCTTGACCAGATGCTAAGGTTTCGGTCAGCCTGCCAACTTCAGCTTGGAATATCGACAGCTGTGCATTGGCTCTACGCATCTGAGGAAACATAATACTTGGGTGTTATGAGTATTTTATACACAGACCGCCTACATCCTTATGCCCAATTGTCAAATCTAATGAGACCCTAACACACGTGCTGTATGGAAAAACTAACTGACAAAAAGATGGTGCTTTTATTTGGAGTTGGAGAATGCACTACCTGATCACACCACTTCACTCCCTCAGGAAAACCAAGAGTAACTTGTCAGTTTTTTTAGAGCACCTAAAAAATATTGGAGGGTCAAAACTGCCAAAATAAAATATTTTTCAAGGCAATAATATCGACCTTTTCGGTTCACAAATTAGACCGATATCACCAGTTCACGAAATGAACGTATTGCGTATGAATGATTTTGATTTGCCAAGGACGGAACCACTCAGCAAAAACACTACTCATTCATCCTTGTAGGAATACTCTCTAATTGGAATTCATTAATCTAAGGAGATACATTTAGATTGGGTTATACAAAATGTCAATGAATGAACAAATGTACACATGCACACCAATACATAATAACCCCCACATACATTACAGGCGTGATGTTTTTGTTTATCGTAATTAGGTCAGTGAGCACTAAAGTGTGAAATCTGACAACAACACTGTTCACCAAGATCGAAGGCACACAGCCGTGTCTTCATTGGGTTAGTTTTTACAAAAAAAAAAAAAAAAAATAGCATATCTATTAAATGAATTGATACAGTTCAAAGAACAGTCATGCCCATCACTGGTGAGTTCCTCTTGCTGTGGCTGTTGACAGGCATACCGATAGCTTTCAACACTTACGTGTCATCAACCAAAAGGTGAATAGTTCAACCCAAGACACACTTAGGGCAGCCCCATCACTCATAAATTTCCTTTTGCATTTCGTGCCGATATTGTCGGCATTTTCAATGGTCATCAAACGTTCACGGATTTACGCTATTTGCGGGCTGGCATGGTTCCTATTACCCGCAGAGAGTGGGGGTCAACTTGTAACTCTATTTTTAAAAATTACTCTCTTTTTTGGTTCCAGGAATGGATTGCGTAGCGCAAGACATTTCATTGATGAAGTCATTAAGACATCTGTGTGTTTTTATTTCCAGTAGTTAAATGTGTCATTTTTACCACATTTATATTTGATTTTTAATCGGCAGACTGATTTTTTAAACCTGTCGGGACCTAGTTAAGAGAATGCCTCTGAGGTTTGACCAAGTGTCGATACCTGTGACGAGAGGACACCGTTCTCCTCTTCAAGTTCATTCACTTTTCGCTCCATCAGCGAAAAGTTATTTTTGCAGTCTTTGTTGTCTTTTAAAATTTCGTTGAGACGCAGCTGTAACCTAAAAGAAAAATGTCAGAATAGTGAGTGACAACCCACTTTATTACAGTGCTATCATTCACGAAAATAACTTGGCTTTGCCTTACAGTGGTTTTGTGTAGGGGGGGCTGGTAATTTCTTAAAATGTGGTCTGTTCATTCAAATCACAATAAACACAGCCTGCTTAAACTAACATCACATCACGTTCTCATATTTTTACTGAAAATAACAAGTGAACAAGTGGATTTAATAAAGTCTTGCTGTTCATTCCATGTTTAGACAAATTGTCTAAAAGTTCAGTACTGTTGCTTCTCTTCCAAGCAGTGGCCATCCTGTGAAAATGACTGCAAAAGTAGAGTGCACAATGCTCAATGAAGTAAAATAGAACCGTCGAGCAGTGTTACACTTGCAAAGTAAAACGATTTTCATTTCATAAATCAGTTGTGCAACGTCCTTTTGTCGGGGAATCACCAAAACCCTTGAGTGAGAGGCTCCTCATCATACAAAGTAAGACGAAAAGACTGCGGGGTACACGAGCAAAAAAAAAGGTTCGGAGCCACTGCATTAGGTCAGAATTAATGATCTTACGAGTTATTCTTGGTCTCAAGTTCATTGATTTGTTCCTTAGTCGTAAGCTCTTGATCACTCTGCTCCCTTTTCATCTTGTCCAGGCAATACTGTAACTGGTTAATATGAGATTCTGAGGAAAACAAGTGAAGACAAGAACAAAACGTTAAAAGGGAAGGCATGCATTATACTCCCAAGTAGGCTTATCCTTTCTTTTTCTATTGCGGTCGTCCTTACAAGGGTCTTGTGGAACATGAAGCCTAATACAGCTGACGTCGGGACAAGTGGTACCCAACCATCAACACTCAAACCTTGAGCTGGATGAAAAATTGTATTGCGATTTAAACCCTATCGGCGGTGTGTGGAAGCCAGAGTACAGTTTTTTTTTTAAAAAAAAAGGAAACGTGGACCACATAAGAGAAATGAAAATTGCGATGAACTGTGAAACCTTTACAAAATTCTAACAAAAAAATTGTGGCGCAGCCGCAAATCAGGAAGTCAAATCAGATTACAAAAACGATGCAACAAATGTCTAGCCTGATCGCTTCAACAGCTTTTCGTGTTTTTTTTAAATGATTGCACAGAAACATGTGGACTGCACTGAAGCACTAATCTAGACACTATATAGAAAAAAATAAAACAGATAAATCCAGCACCTCTTTGTGTAATGAGGCTAATCTTGCCCGCAAGCTCCTTCTCCAGTCCATCCCTATAATCTTGCTCTTTGATCATCTGTCGTTGGATCTTCCGCAATTGGAATTTGGGTGTGTTCATTATATCCTGAAGAGGAGACTTGCTGTGGAAATAAATAAATAGAGTTAAAACAAAACAATCAAAACAAATAAGTAATAGACAGTTGTTAAATAAAAGTAGAAATATGTCATCATTTGTGATCTGACCATTCAAGTCAGGACAATGGACACACTTGACATAAACCCCCCGTACATTGCTGGTACAGGGTTTAGCGCTTTTTTTTTGTACAGTTCACCATTTTGGACAAACTCTTGTCTAGTTGATATACATTGGAAACACAAACGTCCAGGCTCATCGACATTACGCCAAGCGGGTGAACGACGTTTAAAATAAACCAGCGCTAGCAGTGGAATAACAGTCTTGAGAGCAATGCAGTTAATTCTGCACTGGATTTAAATATTGCTCATTTCCTTTAATAAATGGCAGCTCAGCTTTAATGATTTTTTAAGGAACACCAATAACAGTTTAAGTACTAGTAACACAAGTAGCACGAGCACTCAAGCTTCAGCCTCGTCACAGTACTTCCAATCACTACTTTACGAGCGCGAAGAGTCTTCCACGAAATTGTCGTGACCTGTTAAACTTGTCTTGATGCATGTCAAAGGAAGGCCTCATTAACGACCAGAAACAGCAAACCGGGTGGACAATGGCATGTTATTGCACGATTTTTACAAAAACTGTACTTAGGAACGTTTTGTGTGCCATGCACTCGTGTACATTTCTAGGACAAGCAATGTTTTACAATTGGAGAGGTGACATTAAAAACATGCTGTGACGAGTATTTTTAATGAGCAGGAAGTAGGATCTTAACTGCCCAAAGGGGGAACCTACTCAAGCCTTTGCGATCCCCGATAGGCTCCAGCACGCCCCACAACCCTTGTGAGGATAATCGGATCAGAAAATGGATGGATGTATAATAGCCAATGATACCTGACAGAAGACGATGCCACAGTATGCATATCCACAAATGTGATTTTCTTTGTGCGATGGAACACAGGGGAGTCTTCATCTGAGAGCATAGAGGCTGTTGACGCACTGGAAGTAGAGGTGCTTGCTGTTTGCGCCAATATTTCTGGAGGCACAGGTAAATCTGAAAGACGGAGACAAACCAAATCAGATGAAAAGTGCTTCATTAAGCCTGAATGCAGATGAGAGACTCACATCGCTTTGCCAAGTAGGCATCGAGGCCACTGCTCAGAAAAACACTGCCATGACTCTCCATCACAAAAGAAATAGTCAGATTTGCAATTTCCCTCTGAAAAGAAAGAATGGAAATGTGTTTACGATGGCACAGATTTAATGGAGAAAAACATTAGGCAGAGGTTATTTTGCCGTGAGCAGCTCTGATTGAAGGGTACAGAGTATTTGAACCCGTAGCGGGTTGGAATAAAACATCACCTTCTGTGAGAACGGCCTACCCACTATGCCACGAGCTGGCACACTTACAACTGGCGCCAAATTTGGACTTCTAGTCCTCTGCCGATTTGTGTGTAAACACTGGGTGGCAATTAGGCAAAATAACCACTGGGAACACATTAACACTGCAAAAATCATTCTGCCTGCTTACCTCCACTTCACAGTCTAAGGTCTTTAGTGTGCAGCGTTCACTCATCATGTCATGGTAAACCAACAACAAAAGCACCTGAAAATATACACAGCAGGTCAGACATCCCCAGTATCTTTTTTATGCCACACAAGAGTCACAATACAAGCATAGAATGTTACAGAACAATGTTTAGCAGCCAGTTTAAAATACAGCACAAACAAAAAACTAAATATGTAGAACAGCAATAATACAAAATATTACGTGCAATAGGATGCAGACCAGCTTTCCCCACATGTACCTTTGCAATTTCCACAGTCAGGTTGATTCCATTTCTTATGTTGTCCCATGATACTGATGGACCTTTGGTTGGACTAAATCTGCAATCGTCTGGCCAACAAGAAGGTATTAAGGTAAATAATAGTTTTCAGATATTAGTAATAAAAAACATACAGTGTACGGGTAAATAAGTGCAACTGAAAATTTGATATTTTGCTCTTGGAAAAAAAAAAATACTTCAGGATTAATTCATTAAATTGCCCTGTATTTGTGACTAATGCTGCATTTGATGGAGGTGGGAAGTCTGACTTTTCCGTTAAAAACTGCACTAGGAGGCCCCTGGGAACTGAGAGGCCCAAGTGCCAAACTCCCAGGGGAGGGGAAAAAAAAACACCTTTCAAGTTGACTTTACTCAACTGTTTATTCTTGTGTTTATTTATGTGCACTGTCCCAAGGAAATAAATTAATAGATAAATAAATCCGAGTGGCATTGATACGATTTCCCACCTTCCTCGAATGCAGTACTGTATACTGTAATTGCATTGTTTAGGTAACACCTCAAGTCATGTGACACACCTACCTGCCCCAATTGACAGTAATCTGAAAAGAACGTCAGTATTTTGAGAGAGAGAGAGAGAGAGAGAGAGAGAGAGAGAGAGAAAAATAAAATTCTCTGACAGATGTCAAACTCACTCTCCACAAATTCTGCAATGACTTTAAAGCGTTCCTCAGTTGATTGAATTAAAGGGGGGTTTGGTTCTTTTTTCCTGAAAATAAACATAGGAAAACAAGAGTAAACAACAGAAGCTATATGTTCAAAATGAACAGGACTGCTAATGTACTCACAGTTTGTGAACAACATGAAGCAGGAACTCCCCATCTCGTAGCTCTTCGATGTTAATTTCTCGATGGGCCAATATAATATTATTGACCTGAAAACACAGAATGGGGGTGGTTAGGTCAAAACCTAAAACTGTAAATACCGCAAGCCATGTTAGCGTCAATTTACCCAGCTGAGTAGAGCCTTAACGCCCAGATTAAGAAATGCCATCTGGACGGAACCTTCCTCAATTCTGTCGGGAAGGAAGAAGCGATATTTTAACTGGCTGTCTTGGTCGGGGTGGAAACACACACGCGAACATCCACAAGAAAATGGTCGTCTTTTAACATTATGCTGACAATGATAAACACCTCGGTCCAACTTCACTGGCTGGATATCGTTAGCGTGGCGAAGAACTGCTGTTGTTAAAGCAACTTACCCCAATAATTAAATCATTAATTCCTCGCTCAATGTAAAAACACGACTGCTCGCTGACTATATACACTGACGTGAATTCAACGGTCTATTCAACGTGTACGGCGTTTTAAATCAGGCAGATAAAGTTAAACCAGCGAATCATTTATCGCTGAAGGACGTTTCTCAAAATAAATGACTCTGATTGGATAAACGTCCGGAAGTTGAATTATCGTAGCGCTTGTTTTATTGACTAGGACAGCCAGTGGTGAGAAAGCGAGGCGAAGAATGTCTGGGGACTTGATAGAAACATAAACCATCTGTCCACCAGTTTATCCTCACAAGTAACCAACAGCATATCTCTACTTAACCTATCGATACATTCCGATGAGTATTTTTGTGAAGCGGAACAGTAATGGACTTTTTTAATAGACAAGATATACTGTGCAAAAATCAGTGAATCCAATTCACGTCTTTTGCACCACAGTTCGTGGAGGACTTAAACGGGTCGTGTGTGACTGTCTACATACTGTTGTCCACTTGGGGTCACCTTTCACACTTACATGTGTTCCTTTTGCAGTTTAAAGTTCTCCAAAATGAAGAACGAGGAATGCTGAGTGCAGTCATTAATCCGTCATTATAGCAACGTAATTCTGTATTCTCTCTGTAAAAGGTTTTACTGCACGCCAATGGAACAAATGAATGGCGCAATGTAGATTTTAAGAAGAGGGGATGACCGGAGAAAAGGCACTAAAATGCAATGTATTTTATTCTGATTATGTATACATCTTGTATTTGTTTAGAATATAAGTGCGCAAACAACCCACTTATAATGTTTTATGAGTGTTTAGACCTACCAGTACGAAAATAAAATGCTGTGATAATAATTAATGTTACCATATTTTATCTGTTCTTAATTACCCGAATTTGAAATGTACATACACGTATGGATTTTCCCAAAGGCACCAACGTTCAAATATAACGGATTAAGATTGTTTTTGCATTCTGAGTTTTATCAATCGCTGCATGGCGAATCATCATCACGATCGTCATTACCGCTTTTCCACATCCATTATGGCGGCAACGCCGATGCGCAATTTAGCGTTAAATTCTGTCTCTATGTCTCTTTAAAATGGTAATCCACCACATGGACGTGGCTCTTTTTGACGTCATGTTTAGGCTCGATTTTTTGCAAAGGTAAGTGACGCACGTCGGTGTCGCCAATGTGTGGAAAAAAAATGACACAGATAATACACTCTGAGCCGTACCCGTTGTTATTGGTGCCATGCCTTCCAAATTGGCACAATCTGGCGGCATGGAGACGGAAAATGATGAGGTAAAAAGACCGATGATGTGATGACATTTACGCTCTTATTGTAAAGTTGTTTTAGATGTAAAGTTTTGTGTGTGTGTGTGTGTGTGTGTGTGTCTGTGTGTGTGTCTGTGTGTGTGTCTGTGTGTATTGTGGTTGAGGTTAAATGACAATTTGTGCCCTATTTCATCTGTTGAGATGTCGAGCTTCCTCATATTTTAAAAGGTTAAAATTTTGGATGATGTCCTGACTTGCGATTAAAATTTACTTCTGAGTTGTCTTTCAACACTTGCAGAAAGTTTGGGATCAATATATTTTTTGCTAAGGTACAGGATGCTATGGATCTTTGAAAGATGTATGTGCCAAAACGTTAAAAGGGTTTTTCTTAAAACGAGGGGTTTCAGCCTGCCAGCATTGAAATTGCTGTAAAATTTAGCTGTACCCCTGACTCACAAAGTCCAAGGAATACTGCAAATTGTTTTGAGTGAGAACATGGAGCAGCGCAATTAATTCTGAAGGTGTTTGTCTTCTCAGGATGTCAAAAGAGGCTCTTGGTCGACCACATGCGTGCCAGACCTGGATTGTCCCCACACCTCCAGGCTCTTAATTCAGGAGGTCTCGAACACTGCCTCCAACCCCACCTCCACACCCTCGCAAGCCCAGCCCTCTTCAAACACTCCCATCTCTTCCTCGTCCTCATCCTCCTCCTCATCCTCCCCTTCCCTGTCACCCTCATCTTCATCCTCCTCTTCTACCTCCTCCACCACTTCCTCATCCTCCTCTGACAATTGGACCTGTGAAGTTGCAGATGGACAAGATAAGGTGATATTGAGGAGGGTCCCAGTCGTGGCTCGTGATGGGCTTTATGCAGCAGGGAAGAACCCTGTTCGAAAACCCCGCTTCAGGTACACGAAGAACGCCATGAAGGGGAAGAACAAACAATATAGACAAAAGGGAGCTGCTAGATATTCAGAGTATACGTTTCCACAATAGCACAATAGTGGCACAATCATTGACTGTGCCACTCCTCCACAAATCGACAATCCAACTTTGTTACAGGGGACTGAAAGACAACTTAAGATGCTTTTCATTTTTTTGCACACATTGATGTGTTCATTTTAGTTCATGCTGACAATGTAAATAAATAAGATATGTTTGCTTGATTGTTTTATTATAAATTGTCCCCAAGTTTGATTGTGAGTGTGAGTGTGTGATATATATATATATATAT